CTCACCCTCGTGTCTCTGTGTCCTCTGTGTCCGCTCTTACTGCCGCGGTTACTGACTTTGCCTCTACCCGCCGCCTTGACTACGCCACCACGCTTGTGACTGCTCCTCCTACCAGTCCTCTGGTCGTCGGGGGTGTGTCTGCCCTTGGCTGTGACGCCCTAGAGGACAGGCAGTTTGAGCTAGAGTTCCTGGCGGCCGCTTCCCCTCATCTCTGTGCCATGCTCCTCGCCCCTGAGGGTGACCCCGACGCCCTTGACATTCCGACTCCTCGCACTTACGCTGAGGCAGTGTCAGGGCCTTGGGCCTCTCAGTGGAGAGCTGCCATGGACGCAGAGATGGCCTCCTACAGATCCACAGGCACCTACGTCGATGAGGTTCCCCCCCCTGGGGCGAACGTAGTCGACGGCATGTGGATCTACAGGGTGAAGCGGCCACCGGGATCTCCCCCGGTCTTCAAGGCGCGCTACGTGGCTAGAGGTTTCAGTCAGCGCGAGGGAGTTGACTTCTTTCAGACCTTCGCACCTACCCCGAAGATGACCACTCTTCGGGTGTTACTACACGTAGCAGCACAGAGAGACTACGAGTTACACTCTCTTGACTTCTCCACTGCTTTCCTTCAGGGCAGTCTACACGAGGAGGTCTGGTTGCGTCGTCCCTCGGCCTTCACTGGCACTTTCCCTCCTGGGACCCAGTGGAGGCTGAGGCGACCTGTTTACGGTCTTCGCCAGGCCCCTCGTGAGTGGCACGACACTCTGCGTTCTACCCTCTCTGACCTTGGGTTCCAGCCGTCTTCTGCCGACCCGTCGCTGTTCGTTCGTCGTGGCTCCACACCGTTCTTTGTTCTGGTCTACGTCGACGACCTCGTTTTCGCCACTTCGGACAGGGTTGCTTTGGCAGACGTGAAGTCCGAACTGCAGAAGAGACACACGTGCACTGATCTTGGTGAGCTGCGCCACTACCTTGGCCTGCAGATCACCAGGGACAGAGCCGCTCGCTCCATTACACTCTCACAGTCACACATGGTGCAGCAGGTCCTTCAGCGGTTCGGGCTTCAGCACTCCACCGTACAGCGCACACCTCTAGCTGTTGACCACAGACTCACTGGTCCTTTTCCTGACGAGCCGTTTGAGCCTAGTGGTCCCTACGCAGAGCTTGTGGGTTGCCTCATGTACCTGATGACTTGTACTCGCCCGGACCTCGCCTTCCCTCTCAGCATCCTTGCGCGCTTTGTTGCGCCAGGGAGACACCGTCCTGTTCACTGGACGGCAGCTGTGAGGGTGGCGAAGTACCTAGCGACTACATCAGGCGTGGGGCTAGTTCTTGGAGGGCAGCAGTCTGTCGTACTCACTGGTCACTGTGACTCCTCTTACGCTGACGACGCTGAGACTCACAGGTCTACTCAGGGGTACTGTTTCAGTCTGGGTTCTGGAGCTGTTTCCTGGCGTTCCACGCGCTCCTCTTCTGTCTCGACCTCTACAGCTGAGGCTGAGATTTACGCTGGTGCCATGGCGGCACAGGAGTTGCGGTGGTTGACCTTCTTGCTCGCCGACCTTGGTGAGCGGCCGAGCTCTGCACCCACCTTGTTTACTGACAACAAGGCGTCGATCCTCCTCTGTCGTGAGCCGCGACTGGAGAGCAGAGTGAAGCACATTCACGTCAGGTACTTTCTTCTGCGAGAGTTGCAGAGGCGTGGACAGGCTCGCTTCGAGTTTGTAGAGTCCGAGGCCAACACTGCAGACATCTTCACCAAGGCGCTTCCGCCTTGTGACCACCAGAGGTGTTGTGTGCAGTTAGGTCTTGTTGACACAGGTTCTAGTCATGCGTAGACTTGAGTTTATTGCCTGCTTCGTCTGTACACTTACTATATATACTTGTGATCTCTTGGACTGGCCTTGTGGCCACTGTTGCTTGTGCTCAGAGTGTGTGGTGACGTTGTGATCCACCCTGAGCTTTGTTTTCTTTTGGACTGGTCTTGTGACCGTACTCTTTTTTTTTGTTTTTGCTAGACACCCCTCACTTAGGCTATGGGGGTGTGTCAAATATTGTAGCCTGTAGTGAGGTTTGTCTTAGGGGCTACAGAAGTTAGGGTTTGTTATATGTACCCCAACCAACATCAATGGAACATTCATTCCTCATTCTGACAATAAGACATATATGTCTTATATCCGGGCGATGACGGTAGTAGAATATTCTCCAGAATGTCAGTTTCAATTCGTAGTTGGGTGACGAGAGCATTTCCGGTGTTCTGACAACGCAACCCCAAGAGCACATTGGCTTCAAAATTTCGCCAAGACTCTCGCCAAGCTCACTTGTTTTCGTTGCAGCGAAATCGGTTTTCACACTGTACAGACATGAACAGTACCTTCAAATGTATACAAAAGTTTTAATGCTAAGAACCTGGCACCAACTGAAAGCCAGATGAATGTTCCTGCGGCTCAGCTCCGGCCAATTGGCGGCCCTGGTAATCAAATACAATTTTGTCACACACTTGAAGGCTTCTCTTCGACACAGTTGTCAGTTGAGAACTGGTATACAGAAATCAAAGACTCAGCTAACCAAACCCAGGCAGCCTACCCAACAATTACCCTCGTCAGCCGTTCCATCCCATCCCATGATCCCACACCCTGATCTACCTACACCCATGAAGAAAAAGGGGGAAAATAACCATTGAACGATTTTGAAGCACCGCACAGCAGAGCTGCAAACCAGCCGAGAAACTGGGACCAACTGAAAGCAAAGCAAAGCAGCCTCCGGGACTGAGAGAAGCTGTAGCAAGCAATCTATTGGGTTTCAACAGAGGGCCGCGTCTGCGGAATGAATCCGGCTGCTGCTAGCACCCGCAATCTAGCAGCTGGAACACGGGACCTGCAAGCCTATCGGTGGTAACAGACGAAAGCTGTGGTAGTAACAAACAGACTGCTTCCCGTCGTCACACCTACACGCCAATGCCAGGAACCATCAGTGTGGGCTGCCGTCTTGTTAATCGATGCCGACGAATTTGCTAGTTGGCTGTCGCCGAAACCCTAGTCGCGAGAAGCTTCCAGGAGGGGAGTGGGATTCACCTGACGCCGTTCCTCCCGCTGCTGCTATGCATTAACCGTCCCGAACCCGTTTCATGCCGACCAACATGCCCTTGAGCAAAGACACACAACCGCGTGACAGGAGCAATGCCATGAAATATGAGAAAACCGCCGTCCGTTTTATTTCTTCTTGATGCTCCCGCGAACGCCGGGACGCTCCTTGTTATCGAGATCCACGCCCTCGTGCTGATCAGTGATCTTGGCCTCGTCGAACGGCAGCTTCGGATGCCGAGCCTCGTGGTGGATCTGCATGCTCTTCACGTCCGGCGCCGTCGCTTTGCAGACCGGACAGACATACTTCGCGTGACCGCCTTTGACCAATCCCAAGCGGTCCGCTAGTCCGGCTTTTCCGCCTCCGCGATTGGTCGTCGCCGCGTCGGCCTTCGCGGCGAGCTCCTTCGCCGTGTGCTTTTTCGGCTTCGCCTTTCCCGTCATTCTGTCGCTTGGGGATTACTTGAAAGGAAGACTAAAACGAATACAGAATGAATAAAAAAGAAAACTGTCGGTTTGTGTTGGGCCACTGCAAGGCAAATGCGAGATTCGAGAAGTTGAAAGCCGTATTGGGTTGGACGACTGGAACGTAATGACTGTACAGCTTAGCCCAGCTAGGTTGAGGACGAGAGAATGCGAACCAATGAGAGAAGCGCCGACTAAATCACACAGAAGAAAGTAGGGTGCGACTGCGTGTAAGAAACGAGTTGGCCTTATAGGTTTTGAGGTGAGTTGATAGGAGACAACAATGGCGGGCTCTGGGTTTCTCCTCCGTCAAGGGTTCAGTTTTCCACAAAGGGCCTTTACCGCACTCCGCTCTTTCGTACCACGTAATTGAATTTGTGTACCGAGGGAAAACTCACAGAACCATTGAGGGTGGTCCCCGTTTCTCTGTTGTGGCCGTTCAATTTGGCTTACGTGGAGGCACCGTCAATATATGACGGAGCAGGCAAGCTACAGCGAAGATCGTGAAACAAAGTTACCCGTTTTCGTTATGTAGCTGCAGTGAAAATTGTGGTGAGGTGATATACAAATTTGAAGAATTCCTGACTTATGAGAAGGGACGAGAAAGATGTGCTAAGGTACTATACGGTGATGTACGGTAATTCCTTTTCCTCCATTGCACGACTCGTCCCTCCCCTCACACCACATGCTCTCCGCATTCTACGGCCCCGTTACTAAGACTGCTGCCGTGGTTTTTCAAAATACTCGTCGGCATGTCTGACTCATCAGTGTCTAGAGAGAGCGAAATGGAGTAGCGGGAGCGCTTCTCAACGAGGACAGTCGATTCTCAATCATCTGTAAAATAGGATTTAGTATCTTTCTGTCGGGACGGGACCCATAGTAGACTTAGTGCATTTAGTCCACTGCATTTTGCAGTGGGTTACCCTGACACCAAACTCTTGCCTCAATCGGTCGCTTCAAGTCTGTACATTTTGACTGACATTCAGGGCGTCGTGCTTTGTCATCTCCCTGTATTTTATTTTAGTCCGTCCTCGCTCATAACCGCTTCCCACCACGCGAGAATCTCTTCATTCGAACGAGTTGCTTGCTTTTCAAATCCAGAATAGCTCTCCCTCGCTTTCTAGCCTGTATATGCCCTCCTTCGCTTCTGTCACGTAGCTACTTCATCTGTTCTCGCTGCTCTCGTCGCTCTCGCCGCCGGCTCATCCCGTGCTCGTCGCCGGTACTTTCAAGGCGACTCGACGCGCGTTTCACGCTCATTCGCTTCGTATTCGTCCTCGCCGCCACATCCGACTCGCTGCTGCTAGGTTCAGTCCGCCTCGCCTGCTAGGTTCATCCTTGGAGACGTCACTAAGCTTTTAAATCCTCTCAAAAGTCGTCTCGCCGCCACATCCGACTCGCTGCTGCTAGATTCACTCCCTGTCGCACCTTCCAGGCTCACTTTATCCTCCGCTCCGCGCCGCGATGGACGCGTGTGCGGACAGCGGTCCGGCGAAGCGCGCGGAGATATACACGTACGAGGCGCCGTGGCCCGTCTACAGCATGAACTGGAGCGTGCGTCCCGACAAAAATTTCCGCCTCGCCGTCGGAAGCTTCATAGAAGATTACCGGAATAAGGTAAGGCGGACGGCTAAGGAGTTGCACAGGTGAGCGTGTTGCACAAAATCTCGGACTGAGGTAGTTTTTTTATTTCTATCTTTGCTCCACTACGACGTTTCGCATTGACCTAACTCTTTCCGTCTCTCCCCTCCCCCTCCCCCTCTCCTCCCCATCTTCCTCCCCCTCCCCCTTCCCCCTTACTCGTTCCCCCTCTTGTAGGTGGAGATAGTCCAGCTAGACGACAACACAGGCGAGCTGAGGAGCGACCCGCGCCTGACGTTCGACCACCCGTACCCGCCCACCAAGCTCATGTTCGTCCCGGGCCGCGACGCTGCCCGCCCGGACCTGCTCGCCACGTCTGGCGACTTCCTGCGGATTTGGCAGGTGAGGGAAGGGGGAGGGGAGGGGCGAAAAAGAGCGTGGTGGGGGGAGATGGGGGGAGGTGGGGGGAGGTGCGGGGAGCCCGGGAGGGGGGGAAAGAGGATGCATGCACAGTGTGCTCAGCAACGATCCTGATTGAGACTGCACTGCCCTCTCACTCATGTACCCCTGTGTGTTTCTGTTCATCCTTCCCCATCACATCACAGACGACGGGGTGCGCATGCGCAGCGTGCTCAACAACAGCAATGTGGCAGTGTGTGCCCCGCTTCAGGCACTGTATGATGCTGTTCCTCCTCTCTCTGCAGATCACCAATGACGGCGTGCGCATGCGCAGTGTACTCAACAACAACAAGCTTAACTGTCTCTCTGTGCCCCGCTCTCATGTGCTGTGTGTATTCTGTTCCTCCTCCCTCTTCTCTCTTCAGATCACAGACGACGGCGTGCGCATGCGCAGCGTACTCAACAACAACAAGAACAGCGAGTTCTGTGCGCCGCTCACCTCCTTCGACTGGAACGAGTCCGAACCAAGGAGGCTCGGGACGTCCAGGTACGGAAAAGAAATCAAGTTTGTTGTGTTGTGGATTGCGTTTCCACCCCAGTGCTGCCCTCTTTTGTTTCCAATATTAAAATTTTCCTCTGCGCCCGAAACTTTCTTTTCCCGCCTGTCCCCCACCCTTTTCCCCCACCCAGCATTGACACGGCGCGCGTGAACCATGTGGGAAATGGAGAAGGAGGTGGTGGATTTTTGAGGCGCCTCAAAAAGAGGTCACCTTAGTCGACGGTTGCATTGCATGCCATGCCGTTAACCCAGTCTCTTCTCCCCCTCACCCCGTCCCTTCTCGCCTTCCCCCCACCAGCATCAACACGACGTGCACCATATGGGACATGGAGAATGAGGTGGTGGACACACAGCTCATTGCTGCTGGCAAGGATTACATGCCGTTCACCCAGTCTCTTCGACCCTCTCCTCCCTCCTCCCCTCCCACCCTGCCCTCACAGCATCGACACCACGTGCACCATATGGGACATGGAGAAGGAGGTGGTGGACACACAGCTCATTGCTCACGACAAGGAGGTCTACGATATCGCCTGGGGGGGAGTTGGCCTCTTCGCCTCCGTCTCAGGTGAAAATGCAGATTGCTTATTTGTGCTGTTGCAAGTACCCCCAGCCCATGCTCATTTGTACCTGTCTCTGTGTTTTTCTGACCCCTTCTCTCCCCCTCATGGTCTCTCTCCTTCTGTCCCTATCCAGCTGACGGGTCAGTGAGGGTGTTTGATCTGCGGGACAAGGAGCACAGCACCATCATCTACGAGAGCTCCCAGCCCCATGATCGTTTATGCATATCTGTACCCTTCGCCCCTCTCTTCCTCCCTCTCCCTCTCCAGCTGACGGGTCAGTGAGGGTGTTTGATCTGCGGGACAAGGAGCACAGCACCATCATCTACGAGAGCCCCCAGCCAGAGACACCTCTGCTGCGCCTGGGGTGGAACAAGCAGGACCCGCGCTACATGGCAACCATTCTCATGGACTCGCCCAAAGTGGTCATCCTCGATATAAGATTCCCCACTTTGCCAGTGGCGGAGCTACAGGTGAGATGCCTCGCTACCACCACTTGGTCCTGCTCTGTTACTCTCATTTTCTGGTTAGCCCTGGTTAGCAATTACCCCCTCTGCTATCGCAACCAGATGGCCAGACCCTTTCCCCGCCACAGGTCTACCATCTTTCACCACAAGCTGATCTTTTCCAGTTGCACTAGACCCACCAATTTGTTTTCATTTTCTCCCCCTTTCCCTCCCTTTCCTCCCATATGCCGATCTCCTTGCTTTTCGCATCAACAGCGCCATCAGGCATGTGTGAATGCAATTGCATGGGCACCACACAGTTCATGCCACATCTGTACAGCAGGAGATGATGCCCAAGCTCTGATCTGGGACCTGTCCACCATGGCCCAGCCTGTGGAAGGAGGGTTGGACCCCATTTTGGCCTACACTGCTGGTGCAGAGATTAATCAGCTACAGTGGTCATCTCTGCAGTCAGATTGGGTTGCTATAGCCTACGCAACAAAATTGCAGATCCTGAGAGTGTAACGCGGTGCAATGAGATTAAATGTTATCTGCACTTAGTATATTGAAAGTGTAGATTGTGGTCAAATGGAAGTGTAGGTGCGGTTTGGTGAGCTGCTGGACCCGTGAGTTGGCAGAACAGGCAGAACAAAGAAAGAGGGACCAAGTGAAACGTTCTGAAAGCCTTTACCATACAGACGCTTGCATTACAACATGCCTAAGCTTCATCGATAAGACTACAGCGATGGGTCAGTAAGGGAGCCAGAATATACAGAAGTCCCTGTGTGTGCTCCACACGAGCAGCTTTATGGTTTAACTACCCTGCACACACAAGGAAAAAAAAACAATTAATCAACGAGCCACAAGGAAAACAGAAAATATGCAGACATAGGGGAGGGACATACCGGTATTGTAGTGGCAGCAGATAGAATAATCGCTGCTGCCAGGACTCAGGCATTAAGCTTCACGTTAACAGCAGACTGCTCGCTCAACAAGCTGAGCGGCAGGCTCCTCTAGAGTCTGAGTTCTCTTCTCCTTAGCCAGGCTTGCAAAAAAATCGGACATCACGTGCTCGTAACCGGGCATCTTTGCAAAGCCTGGAAAATAGTTGATGTCGACAATGTAAAACCGTCTGCTGCAGTTCCTGTCCCGAATCAGATCAAAGTTAAACAACCTCAGACCAAGGTTCTTTCTCAGTCTGGAAGAAATCGATATCATCAAATCCGCTGGCGGTAGCTCCACATGTGAAAGGCTTGCATCAGCTACCTCTCCTCCTTTCCTTCCCAAACCGGGGAGATTGGAAACCTGACAAAATGACCTTAATCCATCAGGGTTTGCAAGGTCTTGCGGTTGAGGATCTGCGGAAACGCAGAAAAAAAAAAGAGTAAGCACCCTCGAAACGAAACATGACAAAACAAACGGAAAAACGCAGCTATTAAGAAGGAAGAGGAGCGTATAGCAAATATTGGGAAAAGAGACTCGACAAACTCAATCACATGTGTCACTATACCAGGCAATGACTTCCGTCGAAGACACTTCACTTGATTCCCCACGACGTAGACTTTAAAAATCACACCACCGTGATTGACAAACTTTTGAAGAACGAATGGTGGTAAGAGCTTCTTCAATCCTTCCTCGTTGTACACAAGCCACATGAGATGCGACTTAGGCGTTCCGTCAACTAGCAGTGGTTTCGCGATGACAGGAAACGACAGGCCGGAGGTCGCAAAGCTTTCGGTGACTGACTGCTTCTCATGCACAACAATTTGTTTAGGGATCCCGACGACGCATCCACACTCGTATTGCAATTTGTCGTCGACAGCCTGAAGCATGGAAATACGATTGTATAACCGCGCGATGGCTTCTGGTGGGTCAATGACAAGCACATCTGGTCTGCTCAGTTGATACTCCTCCAACTCCTCATACCACTGTTGCGATGGAATCTTGTGAAGAATGGCGTCAAAAGGTCCTTGCTCTGCTAGCGGTTTCGACAGATCTATTTTTACCAGCTCGATACCTTTCCTAATAGACTCCCTCTGAAGCTTCTCCTGCAAAAAGCTGTTGATTTTCTTCTGCACCAGAGCGTATCCTATCCGAAACCTAGCAGGCGAGCCGGACCTTTCCTCCATCAACAGCTCCACAACACAGGCTCTACTTGGGTGCATGAAAGGCAAGAGGGAAAAGGAAATGTGCGAAACCCTGGGGGAAGTAATCCTGCTCAAACCTTGGTCGTCCTTCTTATACTACCGCCTGCTGTCTGTTCGGTGACGGAAAAACTTGCTGGTTGGTGTACCAGACTGTTGAAACACTTCCGCCGATAGTATCACCAATTGCAGACTGTGAGTGGACGAGAGTGATAGTCGACAGATTTCAGGGGATACGAAAAGTAAGAATAATTTCAGGACAAGGGATCGAGATAGGCGCTAAGAATAAACTTCAGTTTTCTTGTATCGAACGGAATCGAGTTTCGCATGGATGGCAAGTGCTCACCATAGCTGACGTGGCGGCTCCTGTCACCGCGTAATGACAACTAATGAAATTTCATCGACGGTTAAGAATGATCAAACATCCCCCACGACCCAGCATAAATGTCCACCTGGCAGGATCCCCCTTGCCCAACGAACTTGGGCAAGACGCATCCAACATTTTCAGAGAATCGGCGGGCTGAAATCGACGATGTTCGCTTGTCCCACCAACTTCGTTCGCTTGTCGAATATTCCAACGAATCACGTTCGCCGGCCCAAACCAACATCCTGGAGGGGCGAATCGTGCAAACTAGGGGATACTCGACCAGAAAATGTCTGTTTTGTTCCAGCCCAATTCCACTTCCATCCCCGATTGTAACCTGGGTTTATGCGTGCAGAAACTGCTAGCATAAATGGTATTTTCATATAATAACACAACACTCAATGCATCCTGTGCTCCAATCTGAACCCTTGGTTTGGTATATTCAGTAGTTACCTCAATTTTGGTGGTGAAATATAGCAGCAAAATGTGGTGGAATATGTACAATTGAACATCTCCATGTTCGGCAGCTTAGGAATCACAGCTCCGGTCGCGAGAGGTCTGCGAGCTGCTGCAGCTGGAAACCCTTGGTCTGCTCCTTCAACTGCAGAGGGTAAAGACAAGGGAGAAGAAACAAGCTCACGCGGCAAATTCGACACAAAGCAGAACATGTAAGGTGCATGCGATTTGCTGCTGCTAAAGCTGACTGTGATTGGCTCGAGCACAACCCTGATAACAACTCACAGATGCATCAGCAAGGAGGTCACTGTTGGCACATGCAGCATCAGGAAGCACCTTGGTTGACGTGAGACGGTCAGCTATGGATGATACGAGGCACTATACCAGCACGCCACCCCTTGATAGACACTCACAGCGGCATCAGCAAGACGGTTGCTGCTGGCACATGCAGCATCGAGAACCGCCTTGGTAGTGGTGAGATGATCGGCTATGGATGGGACAAGGCACTATACCAGCAGCCCACCCCAGTTGATAGACACTCACAGCGGCATCAGCAAGGCGGTCAATGTTGGCACATGCAGCATCAAGAACCACCTTGGTAGTGGTGAGATGATCGGCTATGGATGAGACAAGGCACTATACCAGCAGCCCACCCCAGTTGATAGACACTCACAGCGGCATCAGCAAGGCGGTCACTGTTGCCACATGCAGCATCGAGAGCCGCCTTGGTAGCGGTGAGATGATCGGCTATGGATGAGACAAGGCACGCCACCCCAGGCACCTAATGGCGTGGGCGGGGGAGGAGCGAGCGGGGAAGAAGGCGAGGGAGGGGATAGAGGGCAAGGAGCAGCACTGGGCGTGCAGCAACACGTGGCAAGTGCGATAATCTGCCATGGATGTTAGAGGCAAAAATACTCCAGGCAGGGTATCCCAGGCAGGGTACCGGGGGAAATGACCTCTGAAAAATGGCGCACGCCGCACGGGAAACGACTCATAAGAAACCAGTGGAGAACGATTAATCGGATGTACGGCATGGTACCTGGTAGAGTTCGTCAGCAAGGTGACTTTTGAGTCGATTCAAGAGTCAACTATTGATGGGATGTACAGCACGGTACCTGGTAGAGGTCGTCAGCACAGGGCTGCATGGCTGTGAGCAGTTCGTGCAGGCCGTCTAACTGCTCCTTGAGCCGCGCTGCATTCACCTGTGATGTGCGGTGCAACACGGCATACAGGACATGGGGTATGACACATCGAACATGGGGTATGGGGCCTGCAATTACAGGGCTGCATGGCTGTGAGCAGTTCGTGCAGGCCATCTAACTGCTCCTTGAGCCGCGCTGCATTCACCTGTGATGTGCGATGCGTTTATCTGGGATGTGAGATGTGTGATGTGTGATGTGTGTTGTGTGTTGTGTGTTGTGTGATTAGGAATGTGTGATACATGATGTGGGACATGCACGCAACTCACCATGCTGGAGGGGTGGATGGGCAGTTTCACAAGCGAGTCAGACAGCGCCTGAATGATGCTCCTTAGCGCCAGCCGGTGGTGCTCGCGCTGCTGCTGCAGCAAAGAACCGTGGTCTCACAAGCTACCATCCACCACTGACACTGACTCACCGTGCTGGAGGGGTGGATGGGCAGTTTCACCAGCGAATCCGACAGCGCCTGAATGATGCTCCTTAGAGCCAGCCGGTGGTCCCTGCGCTGCTGCTCCTCCTGCTGCAGCAGCGACCGCACGCCCTCTTCACTGAGCAATTGTTGCGCCCGCTGGTGCATCTGCCTCCGCTGCTGCTGTCCCTGCTGCTCAGACAGCCGCCTCTGGAGGTGAGAACAGTAGCTTGCTGCTGCTGCTAGGGCCGCCTGGAGGGGCGGGAGGGGTGGGGAGGGGTGGGGGGAAGAGGGGAGAGGCGAGGGGAATGGGGAAGAGGGAGAAGGGGGGGGGAGAAGGGAGAGGGGGGGACGGAGCGGGAGAAATGAGTTCTGGTAAGATGATGCTGCTGCTGCAGCAGCGGCCCCACGCCCTCCTCACTCAGCAGCTGCCGTGCCCGCTGGTGCATCTGCCTCCGCTGCTGCTGCCCCTGCTGCTCAGACAGCCGCCTCTGGAGGTGTGATCAGTAGCTTGCTGCTGCTGCTAGGGCCGCCTGGAGGGGTGGGGAGGGGTGGGGAGGGGTGGGGGGAAGAGGGGAGAGGCAAGGGGATTGGGGAAGAGGGAGAGGTGGGAGAGAGAAGGGAGAGGGGAGGAGGGAGTGGGGAGAAGGGAGAGGGGAGGAGGGAGTGGGGAGAAGGGAGAGGGGAGGAGGGAGTGGGGAGAAGGGAGAGGGGAGGAGGGAGTGGGGAGAAGGGAGAGGGGAGGAGGGAGTGGGGAGAAGGGAGAGGGGAGGAGGGAGTGGGGAGAAGGGAGAGTGGAGGAGGGAGTGGGGAGAAGGGAGAGGGGAGGAGGGAGTGGGGAGAAGGGAGAGGGGAAGAGGGAGTGGGGAGAAGGGAGAGGGGAGGAGGGAGTGGGGAGAATGCGTTCTGGTAAGACGATGCTGCTGCTGCTGCTGCTGCTGTAGCAGCGGCCCCACGCCTTCCTCATTTAGCAGCCGCTGCGCTCAATGGTGGATCTGCCTCCGCTGCTGCTGCCCCTGCTGCTCGCACCGCTGCCGCTGCAGGCGTGAACAGTAGCTTGCTGCTGCTGCCAGGACCAGATGGGGGTGCGGGGAGAGGGGAGGGGGGAGAGGGGAGGGTGGAAGGGGGGAGGAGAAGGGGGGGTTCATTTTACTTTCTTCCTACCCCTCAGGATCAAGCACCTCCCTTACTCTGCCCGTCAATTACTAATCTTCCCCCCCTACCTCCCCTGCACTCACTGTGCTTTTCCTGTTTCTCTCCTCCTCCTTATTCTGCGGAATCAGCATCACCTGCACCTCCCGACTCTTCTGTTATGAACCGTTATGAACCGGCACAGAAGACTTCCTACCCCCCAATCATCATGCTCTGCCTGTGCATCTCCTCCCTCCTCTCCCCACACTCACCATGTTCTGCCCGTTCCTCTCCTCCGCTGCTTCTTCTTGCAGCACCAGCATCGCCTGCACCTGCAACTCCCTGTTCCGTTTTGAGTAGCCTCACAACATTCCTCCATCCCTCCCACGCACTCACCATGTTCTCTCGGTTCCTCTCCTCAGCAGCCTCTTCTTGCAGCACCAGCATCGCCTGCACCTGCAACTCCCTGTTCCTCACAATCGCTGCTTGAGTCGACCAAGGGAGGCCAGATAGCTCCTCCAGTACTGCTGCCACTGCCGGTACCATCCCCTCCTGTTCGCCCCTCTCGCCCCTCTCACCCCTTTCACTACTTTCCGAACCCACAGAGCCCGAGGCTACCAGATCCAGATCCCCATGGCTGTGCACCGAGCCTACGTCGCTGTACACCGAGCCTGTGTTGCTAAGTGCCAAGACTGCATTGCAGTGTGCCGAGCCTGTGTGGCTCCGTGCCGAGCCTTCTGTCCTACTAAGATCGAGCCCAGCTGTCTCTGGTGCTAATGCAGGCTGGCTTGACTCATTCTCTCTATGCGCAATCCTGCTGCTGTTGCCATTGCTGCTATTGTTGCCCTGCCTGCTGCTGCTGCCACTGCTGATGCTCCTGCCACTGCCAGCGCTGTTACTCCAATCTAATTCCGCACCATCCAAACTTGCTGAAACACGTGAAGTGCTAGCAGTAGCACCAACATCCCCTCGCTGAGTAGCATCTTGCATATCGGGAGCAGCACCAGCAACACCAGCAGCAAAACCACCACCGCCACCAGCTGCTCCAACTGCTCCCGCTGCTTCTAGCAACGCAGCAAAACCACTGCCGTCACTACTCACAGAGCATCTCGCACTTTCCTCCTGGTCCCCCTCCGCCCGCTCCCCTTCCGTCTGCTTCCCCTCCGTCTGCTCCCTCTCCGTCTGCTCCCCCTCCGCCTGCTCCCCCTCCGCCTGCTCCCCCTCCGCCTGCCCCCCTTCTGCATGCTCTCCTTCCGCCAGCTCTTCCGCGTGCTCTCCTTCCGCTTGTTCTCCTTCCGCCTGCTCCCCCTCCGCCTGCTCCCCCTCCGCCTGCTCCCTCTCCTTGTGCTGGCCAGCCACATGAGCCAGTTGCAGCGCCAACATCCCACCAGCTACAGTAGCCTCGTCCGGATCCCCCAGGGCAGCGCTGGTCTCTTCTTCCTCCTCGCCCCTGTCACCGCTGATTGCCCCGCCCTCCTCCCCCTGGTCAGTGATAGTTGCCCCTTCCTCCTCGCCCCTGTCATAGCTGGTAGTAGCCCCTTCCGCCCCTTGCGCGTCCCCTTCCCTCTCTCCTACCGACACATCCTCTCCACCTGCTGTTCCTGCCACATCAGCATCCCGCGCTGCTGACACGGCGGCCGTCCCTTCTGCCACCTCACCACCTTCCAGAGCCTCGCCTGTCGGCACAAGAGTCACGTTTCGGTTCTCAGGGTTAACTCCCCTACCACCTCCCAAACCACCTCCCCCACCACCTCCCCTACCACCTGCTCTCTCCCCTCCTCCGTCTCCTCGTCCCCCCACCACCATCGCCACTCTCCCCTCCCTCCCGCCAGTACCCATTCCCCCTTCCCCCCTTCCAGTCATTGGAGTCTGGAAAAGGCGTCCCTTGATCCCTTCTCCACCTCTACCATGAGGAGTCTGGTACTGCGCCGCTGCATTCCCCCCTCGCCCTCTCCCCATGGGAGTTTGATATTGAGGCCCTTCAAATCTCCCCCTCCCCGCTGCCTGCGAAACGCCTTTCGCCGCACTGGGGGCCGCGCGGACACCTGCTCCGCCCGCTCCGCCTGCTCCGCCAGCCCCGGATGCGCCTCTTCCGCCAGCGCTGGTTCTGCTCGCGAGCCCCGTGGTAGATCCGCCGCCTCTGCTGGCTCCCGCGCGGGATCCCGCGGAGGCTTGCGCGGGGGTGAGGCTCGCGCGGGGAGTTGCGGAAACTCGGCCTGTAACGCTGCTGGCGCCGCCTCTGACGGCGCTTTTCGCGGCGGTTGATGGCGCGTGCATTGATGAGAGGCGCGTACCGGGAGTGGGAATCATGGAGCCTTCGCGACGGGAGGCTGAGGACTGAGCGGGTGTTTGCATGAAACGAGATTGGACTGTAACGACAACGGAAAAATGCGGGAGAAAATGAAGAGAAGGGAAAAGTCATGAGTGTGCGTCATACTGAGACTCGAGTGTAAAATCTTAGATTCACGAATGCCTGTGTCCAGTTCATGTGAAGCGAAACACGAAGTCATTTTTGACTCAAGTCAAGGGTCAATGCAGGTAAAAGGAGGGAATTTGTCACGACGCTCTTGCCTTTCAATATCGCGAAAAAAAAAAGACTTGTCTCATCGGTATATTGCCTACGTGAGGGCGTTCGCATTTTACCTTGAATTCCTGTCGCCTTCTTAGGAGCAGGTTGCTTGAACTCAGAGCTCGCATCGGTCGGCTGACCGGGAGGCGGATCCATGGCAGGAGAAGAAACCGGAACGAGAAACCGAGAAGAGGAAACCGTCGAAGTTAGACGTTTCCAGCGAAGCGCGCGAGAAATTCGTCGTCGCAGGGCCGTGAGTAATGGTCTAGAATCTAGATGATGCAGCTCCAGACTGACGAAACGATGATGGAAAAATACGGTATGTCCGAGTGGTGATGACGATGATGGATGGTGTGGTTGGGGTGGGGACAGGCAGGCTGTATGATCTCGAGGTCAGACTTTCCCGCCAAAACTCGAACTTCAAAATTGGGGTGGTCAAAGCAGCCGACGATTCGAAGGGGGCATTCTCCAGGCCAGAATATATGCATTTGCGCCCCGAACAACAGCAAAGAGTGTACTAATAAACTGGCCACTGAAGTACGACATTGCTAAGATTTAGATTAGTAAGATCAACCATTTCCTAAACATTTCCATGTTAGTTCAGGCAAAAACAAAACGCTTTCTGCTGCTCACGCCATGATATATGGCATGAGATGCCTAAGCTAGAATGCACTCGCCAGTGCTATTGCCACAATTTCACACATTTGTCATGGCTCGCAGACGCAACGAGCCCACGCGCCTGCGAATGCGCAAGTGCAGCGATAAGCCCGTCATGTGCCCCTTGCACAATCATGCTCTTGTTCTCCACCATATTCCATAGCTCCAACGACTGAAAATGGGGAAGAAGGGGAGGAAAGGGGTGTTTGAAAGGAACGGTTAGGCGGAGTTGCTAGGGGAAATGCATGAATCAGCCAGGCCTCCCTTTCATGATCATGCCTTTGTTCCCCACCAAGTTTCATAATTCCGACGGCAAACAGGTAGGGGAGCGGGGAGAAATAAGGGGGGGAGGGAAAGGGGGGGAAGGGGGGAGAAGGAGGAGGAGGGGGGAGTGAGGGAGAAGGTGGGAGGGAGGGAGGGGGGAGGACCGGGAGGGTTGATGGAGGAGGTGAGGTGGGGGTTCGGTGGTTGGGCCTGCATTCGCTGGGCCTTACTTGCACTATCATGCTCTAAACCAAGACCAGCCCAGCACTATTCTCAAACCCCCAAACACGCACACACCCCCACACGACGCCCCACCCCCCCCCCTCTTCTACCCTTTCCCCCCCAACTGACCTGGTAGCAGCCGATGACGAGCAGCGAGGGGTATTGTACTTGGTGTGGAAGGTGCAGAAATACCCAGTGGAAAAAGACCCGTGTGCTGCCAGCCACACACAGGCCCCACATACCCCTTTCTCTCCCCACAAAACACACATACCTCACATGCACACACCCAGAGAAATACACACACATGCACACACCCAGAGAAATACACACACATGCACACACCCAGAGAAATACACACACATGCACACACCCAGAGAAATACACACACATGCACACACCCAGAGAAATACACACACATGCACACACCCAGAGAAATACACACACATGCACACACGCATGCACAAACACCCCACCGACACAAGCCCCTCACTCCCCACTCCCCCCCGGTCAACTGACCTGGTAGCAGTCGATGACGAGCAGCGAGGGGTACCGTACTTGGTGTGGAAGGTGCAGGAGTGGAATTTGTTGCCGCTTCTGACCAGCTCGTGCACACACCCACATGCACACGCACATCCACACTCGCACACGCACATCCACACTCGCACACGCACATCCACACTCGCACACGCACATCCACACTCGCACATGCACATCCACACTCGCACATGCACATACTCACACACACGCGCGCACAGCGCGCGCGCACACACACACACACACCATACACAGCCCAACCTCAGTTCCCCTTCCCCCCCAAAAAAAACTTACTTGGTAGCAGCCGATGACGAGCAGTGAGGGGTACTTGGGGTGGAAGGTGCACGAGTGGAACTTGTTGCCGCTGCTGACCAGCTCGTGCACACACTCGCCCCCGTTGCCCGGGCCCAGCGCATACACTCGCACTGCATCCTCTGAGACAGAAGCGATGAACTCTCCCGTAGCGTCCCAGCAGACTGAATGGACTGGCTTGCTGTGCCGTTGCTGGTGGTGTGGGAGACATGGGGGGATAGGGGAGAGAGCATGCAAGGAAAGAGAAGAGCGGTGTGAGTTGAAAAGCCCGTGCACACACTCGCCCCCGTTGCCTGGGCCCAACGCATACACTCGCACTGCATCCTCTGACACCAAGGCTATGAATTCGCCTGTGGCGTCCCAGCAGACTGAATGGACTGGCTTGCTGTGCCGTTGCTGGTGGTGGGTGAGACATGGGGCAAATGGAGGGGAAAATGGGCAAGAGAAAGGCAATGTGACCTGACCGGCTCGTGCACGCACTCGCCCCAGTTGCCCGAGCCCAACGCGTACACTCGCACCACATTCTCTGAGACGGAGGCTATGAACTCGCCTATGGCGTCCCAGCAGACCGAGTGCACTGGCTTGCTGTGCCGTTGCTGGTGGTGCGAGGGGGGTTGGGGAAGAGGGAAAAGCGCGTGTTTTTTTAGAATTCTCAAGAAACAGGGGTTGGGGAGGAGGGAAAAGAGGTGGAAGGAGGGGCGGAAGGGAGGTTGGGGAGGGAGGAGATATGGAGGGCAAGGGGGAGCAAGCATCTCCAACTGAAAAGAAAGGAAAAGGGCAACAGAACAATCCTTGTGTGTGTGGGGGAAGGAGGAGGGGGGGGGGAGGGTTTGCTTCTTACCTCGAGCGTGCGCAGGCAGGCCTCTGTCTCGACGTCGAATATCGAGACTACCGACTCAGCCGCTGCTGCCAGTAGCCGCCCCATGCGCGGCTGAAAGCGCACCTGCGTGGTGGCACCCTGGTGGTGTGGGGTGGGGAGGGGAGGGGAGGGGAAAGGGGGAGAGGCGGACAGGCATGTGAACATGCAATGAGCCTCCACTACTGCCCGCAGTCGCCCCATGCGCGGCTGAAAGCGCACCTGCGTGGTGGCACCCTGGTGGTGGGGGGGAAGAGGAAGGGGGGGGGAGAGGGGAGGTGGATGAGGAGGTGGAGATAGGGGGTAGGGGGAGTGGGGAGAGGAAGAGGGGAGGGGTGGACAGGACAGGCATGTGAACATGCAATGAGCCGCCGCTGCTGCCAGCAGCCGCCCCATGCGCGGCTGAAAGCGCACCTGCGTGGTGTAGCCCGGAGGTGACTTTTGAGTCAACTCAAAAGTCACATCGCAGCTGAAAGCGCACCTGCGTGGTGTAGCCCGGAGGTGACTTTTGAGTCGACTCAAAAGTCACATCGCAGCTGAAAGCGCACCTGCGTGGTGTAGCCCTGGTCTGGTGAAGAAACAGGAGACACAGTCTCAAGAGACGATTTTTGAGTCTGACTCGAGAATCCAATAGCGATTCGTCGGAGTCAACACAAGAGCAGTTGATCCAAAATCGCACCTCACCTTGAATGAACCCTCTACCTCGAAAAGCGCCTGACCTTAAATGAACCCTCTACTTGGAAAAGCGCCTCACCTTGAACACCCGGGTGCACATCTCCTGATTGACACTCCAGTAGCGAATCTCCCCGTCAGCGTCGCAGGAGCAGAGCAGGTCCTCGTCCTCGGGGTGGAAGTCCAACGACACCACAGATGTCATGTGCCCCGCTAGCGTGCGCAGAGGGAAGGCCGGCTGCAGTGTTGAGGGAGGGAAGAGGAAGGGGTGGGAAGAGGAATGAGGGATGAGCGTCGCAGGAGCAGAGAAGGTCCTCATCCTTGGGGTGGAAGTCCAACGACACCACAGATGTCATGGCGTGCGCAGAGGGAAGGCCGGCTGCAGCATGGCGGAAGGGGGGTTGGGGGTAAGGGGGGGAGACGGGAGAAGAGGGAGAAACGTGAATTAGAATTCGGGAATCCAGAATGAGCAACACAAGTGATGAACGTAAATACATCCCCTGCCTAGGCGCCCATGCCTCTGTGCCAGCCTCTACGCCCACTCCCTACCTTTCTGAACCGACCAGAGAGTGCCTGGTCTCTACTATGGCGACCTACATTGTCAATGTCCCACACGCGCACGGTCTTGTCAAACGATGACGTGGCGACACGTGGCAGGCTGGGGCTGAACCGCACGTCGGTGATGAGCAGCGAGTGGCCCTCCAGCGTGGCGCGCATGGAGAGGGAATCCATCTCCCACAGCACAGCCTGTTGAGGGGAGAAAGGAGGAAGAGGAGGAGAGGAGGGAAGGAGGGGAAAGGTGGTGCGGCATTGAGTGGCGGCAAGTGGCCCTCCAGAGTGGCGCGCATGGAGAGGGGAATGGAAGGGGTGAGGTAGAGAGTAGTAGGAGAGCGGCGGGGTAGGGAGGGGTGGAGTGGGTGGTGTGGGGATGTGCGTGTGTGAGTTGTTCTCTTTCAGTAAGAAAATCTGGTGGTTCTGATTGACATGACACTGACTTCCACTGTCCTCACCTGCACTCTGCACTCACCGTCTCGTTGCCGCCCTTCAGAGAGATGGCAGCACACCACACACTGTATCTTCACGGCCGGCATCGGTTGTCCTCATCTGCAATGCACTGTGCACTCACCGTCTTGTCGTGGCCGGCGCTCGCAAGCAGCTTGCTGTCCTGGGAGAAGTGGCAGCACACCACACACTCACTGTATCGCCACGGTTGGCACCCATTGTCATAACCTGGTGCACTCACCGTTTTGTCATGGCCCGCACTGGCGAGCAGCTTCCCTTCCTGGGAGAAGTGGCAGCACACAGCGTATCACCACAGCCGGCATTTCTGGTCTTGATACTCACCGTCTTGTCGTGGCCCGCACTCGCAAGCAGCTTCCCGTCCTGGGAGAAGTGGCAGCACACCACCTTGGTGGAGCTGGCCCTTAGGCACCCATACTCCGTGAAGGAGAAACCTGCACGGGGGAGTTGGGGAGCAGTTGAGGGAGGGAGGGGGGTTACAGTGAGCAGAGCTGGCCAAGGCGCAGGCTCCTGTTCTCCTTCAAGGCAGCAGCACACCACCTTGGTGGAGCTGGCTCTCAGGCACCCGTTCTCCGTGAAGGAGAACCCTGTGGGGGGGTTGGAGAGAGGAGTAGAGGGAGAAGCGGGTTAGAACCCTGTGGGGGGGTTGGAGAGAGGAGTAGAGGGAGAAGCGGGTTAGAACCCTGTGGGGGGGTTGGAGAGAGGAGTAGAGGGAGAAGCGGGTTAGAACCCTGTGGGGGGGTTGGAGAGAGGAGTAGAGGGAGAAGCGGGTTAGAACCCTGTGGGGGGGTTGGAGAGAGGAGTAGAGGGAGAAGCGGGTTAGAACCCTGTGGGGGGGTTGGAGAGAGGAGTAGAGGGAGAAGCGGGTTAGAACCCTGTGGGGGGGTTGGAGAGAGGAGTAGAGGGAGAAGCGGGTTAGAACCCTGTGGGGGGGTTGGAGAGAGGAGTAGAGGGAGAAGCGGGTTAGAACCCTGTGGGGGGGTTGGAGAGAGGAGTAGAGGGAGAAGCGGGTTAGAACCCTGTGGGGGGGTTGGAGAGAGGAGTAGAGGGAGAAGCGGGTTAGAACCCTGTGGGGGGGTTGGAGAGAGGAGTAGAGGGAGAAGCGGGTTAGAACCCTGTGGGGGGGTTGGAGAGAGGAGTAGAGGGAGAAGCGGGTTAGAACCCTGTGGGGGGGTTGGAGAGAGGAGTAGAGGGAGAAGCGGGTTAGAACCCTGTGGGGGGGTTGGAGAGAGGAGTAGAGGGAGAAGCGGGTTAGAACCCTGTGGGGGGGTTGGAGAGAGGAGTAGAGGGAGAAGCGGGTTAGAACCCTGTGGGGGGGTTGGAGAGAGGAGTAGAGGGAGAAGCGGGTTAGAACCCTGTGGGGGGGTTGGAGAGAGGAGTAGAGGGAGAAGCGGGTTAGAACCCTGTGGGGGGGTTGGAGAGAGGAGTAGAGGGAGAAGCGGGTTAGAACCCTGTGGGGGGGTTGGAGAGAGGAGTAGAGGGAGAAGCGGGTTAGAACCCTGTGGGGGGGTTGGAGAGAGGAGTAGAGGGAGAAGCGGGTTAGAACCCTGTGGGGGGGTTGGAGAGAGGAGTAGAGGGAGAAGCGGGTTAGAACCCTGTGGGGGGGTTGGAGAGAGGAGTAGAGGGAGAAGCGGGTTAGAACCCTGTGGGGGGGTTGGAGAGAGGAGTAGAGGGAGAAGCGGGTTAGAACCCTGTGGGGGGGTTGGAGAGAGGAGTAGAGGGAGAAGCGGGTTAGAACCCTGTGGGGGGGTTGGAGAGAGGAGTAGAGGGAGAAGCGGGTTAGAACCCTGTGGGGGGGTTGGAGAGAGGAGTAGAGGGAGAAGCGGGTTAGAACCCTGTGGGGGGGTTGGAGAGAGGAGTAGAGGGAGAAGCGGGTTAGAACCCTGTGGGGGGGTTGGAGAGAGGAGTAGAGGGAGAAGCGGGTTAGAACCCTGTGGGGGGGTTGGAGAGAGGAGTAGAGGGAGAAGCGGGTTAGAACCCTGTGGGGGGGTTGGAGAGAGGAGTAGAGGGAGAAGCGGGTTAGAACCCTGTGGGGGGGTTGGAGAGAGGAGTAGAGGGAGAAGCGGGTTAGAACCCTGTGGGGGGGTTGGAGAGAGGAGTAGAGGGAGAAGCGGGTTAGAACCCTGTGGGGGGGTTGGAGAGAGGAGTAGAGGGAGAAGCGGGTTAGAACCCTGTGGGGGGGTTGGAGAGAGGAGTAGAGGGAGAAGCGGGTTAGAACCCTGTGGGGGGGTTGGAGAGAGGAGTAGAGGGAGAAGCGGGTTAGAACCCTGTGGGGGGGTTGGACAGAGGAGTAGAGGGAGAAGCGGGTTAGAACCCTGTGGGGGGGTTGGAGAGAGGAGTAGAGGGAGAAGCGGGTTAGAACCCTGTGGGGGGGTTGGAGAGAGGAGTAGAGGGAGAAGCGGGTTAGAACCCTGTGGGGGGGTTGGAGAGAGGAGTAGAGGGAGAAGCGGGTTAGAACCCTGTGGGGGGGTTGGAGAGAGGAGTAGAGGGAGAAGCGGGTTAGAACCCTGTGGGGGGGTTGGAGAGAGGAGTAGAGGGAGAAGCGGGTTAGAACCCTGTGGGGGGGTTGGAGAGAGGAGTAGAGGGAGAAGCGGGTTAGAACCCTGTGGGGGGGTTGGACAGAGGAGTAGAGGGAGAAGCGGGTTAGAACCCTGTGGGGGGGTTGGAGAGAGGAGTAGAGGGAGAAGCGGGTTAGAACCCTGTGGGGGGGTTGGAGAGAGGAGTAGAGGGAGAAGCGGGTTAGAACCCTGTGGGGGGGTTGGAGAGAGGAGTAGAGGGAGAAGCGGGTTAGAACCCTGTGGGGGGGTTGGAGAGAGGAGTAGAGGGAGAAGCGGGTTAGAACCCTGTGGGGGGGTTGGAGAGAGGAGTAGAGGGAGAAGCGGGTTAGAACCCTGTGGGGGGGTTGGAGAGAGGAGTAGAGGGAGAAGTGGGTTTACAGCAAGCGGAGTTAACCAAGGGACAGGCAGCACACCACCTTGGTGGAGCTGGCCCTCAGGCACCCGTACTCCATGAAGGAGAACCCTGCGAAAGGGGTTGTGACAACGGGGTTTCAGGAAGCCGAATTGACCAGGGGACAGCATACCTTTCCACAATTTTCTCCTCCCAGGCTCCCACCTCACCAGTCCCTCTCACCCTCCTGTCCCTCCACACTCCCTCATCACCCACCAGTTCGCCTCCCATCCCCCCCTCCCCCCTCCCACACGCACCCACCTTTCCCGTCCATGCTGCCCATGCTGCTGCGCTTGCCGGTGCAGAAGAGCGGCTCGCGGCCATCGCCATCGTCAGTGGAGAGGAACGAGTCCACATTGTCGTCCAGCGACCCGTCGTCCCCCACCCCCACCCCAAACCGCTCCAGCTCCACCAGCTGGTTCCCCGGGGACGGCTCGCCTGAGAGCGTCCCTTCCATGCCAAAGCTGGTCGGGAGAGGCGGGACGAGCGGGGGAGGTAGCATCTGGGGGAGGGAGGATCCTAGCTGGGGGCTCTGCTGCTGGTGTTGATGCTGCTGCTGGTGTTGGTGTTGCTCCTCCTGCTGCTTCTGCTGCTCGGCCGTGGCTTGCTGCTGCTGCTGCTGCTCTGCCTGTGTCTGCGGGCGAGGCTCAGGCTTCACAGCCCCTCCTGCAGCCCCCCCATCCGCACGGGCAGCACCAGCAGTGCCAGCAGCGCCACCAGCAGCAGTGCCAGCAGTGGTACCAGCAGTCCCATCACCAGCAGTACCACCACCACCACCAGAAGCCCCGGCACCACCACCAGCAGCAGTGGCAGCAGCAGTAGCAGCGGCAGTGGCAGCGGCTGCAGCAGTGGCAGGGGTGCCGTTGCTGGTGGCAGGGCCTGATGATCCCGGCTGCTTCCTCTTTCGCCCCAACCTTCCCCCTTGGCCCCTCTGCTTGCCACACGGGTTGGAAGACGGAGGCAAACAATAAGGGAAGGGAGAGAGGGGAGAGTGTTAGAAGAACCGCAGTGGCAGCAGCAGTGGCAGGGGTGCCGTTGCTGGTGGCAGGGCCTGATGATCCGGGCTGCTTCCTCTTTCGCCCCAGCCGCCCCCCTTGGCCCCTCTGCTTGCCACACGGGTTGCAGGCGAGAGGAGAGGGGAGGGGAGGGGAGTGATTGAAAGATTGTCAGAAGATAGCAGATTGTCAGCAGGATGACATGCAACAGAGCAGAGAAGTGACGCATTCAAGGGGAAAAAAAGGGGGGGAGGGGGTTGAAAGGTGAGAGAGTACCACAATAGGTAAACCAACAAAAGGGGGGGATGAAGGGGTCCAGTCCTTGAAAATATTAAGGGGGGAGTGAGGGGGGGGGGAGGTAAAAGGTGAGATTGTACCACCTAAGGTAAACCAACAAGGCAAATACAGAAAGAAAGCACGATGCTTCTGCAACGCAGATTCGGCCCGAAATTATGAGAAAACCCCAAAGTGACTAACTACCTTGGTGACAGTGCCTGTGCTGGTGATGCTGGGTGCGGGCTCCATGCCACTGAGAGAGCTCTGCTCCCCTACCCCTCCTCCGCCCCCTCCACTTCCGCCATTACCACCCCCACCTCCCCCCCATCCACCACCACCACCGCCACCAGCAGAACCAGGCACACCCATCTGCTGCTGCTGCTGCTGCTCTTGCTGCCCCTGCATCCCCCCCTGTGCCCCTCCCTGTCCCCCCTGCCCCTGTCCCTGTCCCTGCGCCTGACCCTGCTGCTGCTGCCCTGCTGCTCTCACTGGTCCGCCTATGCTGCCCTGCCGACCCATCCCCCCCTGATGCCCCTCCTGCTGCATGTGCTGCCCAGGCGCCCCCATCACCTGCTGCTGCTGTTGCTGCTGTTGTTGCTGCTGTTGTTGCTGCTGCTGCTGCAGTAGCAACTGCTGGTGTTGCTGCAGCAGCAGCAGCTGCTCCTGCTTCACCTGTGCGCCCATCAGGCCCCCCATGGCCCCCTGCGCGCCCATGGCCCGTGCTCGTTGAGCTTGCAGCTGAAAAGAACAAGAACACAGCAAGCAGGGCGACACACAAGTAAAAAAGGGGCGTCAATGAGCTGAGCACATTTTGAGACGTCTCAAAGGGCGACACGCAAGTAAAAAAGGGGCGTCAATGAGCTGAGCACATTTTGAGACGTCTCAAAGGGCGACACGCAAGTAAAAAAGGGGCGTCAATGAGCTGAGCACATTTTGAGACGTCTCAAAGGGCGACACGCAAGTAAAAAAGGGGCGTCAATGAGCTGAGCACATTTTGAGACGTCTCAAAGGGCGACACGCAAGTAAAAAAGGGGCGTCAATGAGCTGAGCACATTTTGAGACGTCTCAAAGGGCGACACGCAAGTAAAAAAGGGGCGTCAATGAGCTGAGCACATTTTGAGACGTCTCAAAGGGCGACACGCAAGTAAAAAAGGGGCGTCAATGAGCTGAGCACATTTTGAGACGTCTCAAAGGGCGACACGCAAGTAAAAAAGGGGCGTCAATGAGCTGAGCACATTTTGAGACGTCTCAAAGGGCGACACGCAAGTAAAAAAGGGGCGTCAATGAGCTGAGCACATTTTGAGACGTCTCAAAGGGCGACACGCAAGTGAAAAAGGGGCGTCAATGAGCTGAGCACATTTTGAGACGTCTCAAAGGGCGACACGCAAGTAAAAAAGGGGCGTCAATGAGCTGAGCACATTTTGAGACGTCTCAAAGGGCGACACGCAAGTAAAAAAGGGGCGTCAATGAGCTGAGCACATTTTGAGACGTCTCAAAGGGCGACACGCAAGTAAAAAAGGGGCGTCAATGAGCTGAGCACATTTTGAGACGTCTCAAAGGGCGACACGCAAGTAAAAAAGGGGCGTCAATGAGCTGAGCACATTTTGAGACGTCTCAAAGGGCGACACGCAAGTAAAAAAGGGGCGTCAATGAGCTGAGCACATTTTGAGACGTCTCAAAGGGCGACACGCAAGTAAAAAAGGGGCGTCAATGAGCTGAGCACATTTTGAGACGTCTCAAAGGGCGACACGCAAGTAAAAAAGGGGCGTCAATGAGCTGAGCACATTTTGAGACGTCTCAAAGGGCGACACGCAAGTAAAAAAGGGGCGTCAATGAGCTGAGCACATTTTGAGACGTCTCAAAGGGCGACACGCAAGTAAAAAAGGGGCGTCAATGAGCTGAGCACATTTTGAGACGTCTCAAAGGGCGACACGCAAGTAAAAAAGGGGCGTCAATGAGCTGAGCACATTTTGAGACGTCTCAAAGGGCGACACGCAAGTAAAAAAGGGGCGTCAATGAGCTGAGCACATTTTGAGACGTCTCAAAGGGCGACACGCAAGTAAAAAAGGGGCGTCAATGAGCTGAGCACATTTTGAGACGTCTCAAAGGGCGACACACAAGTAAAAAAGGGGCGTCAATGAGCTGAGCACATTTTGAGACGTCTCAAAGGGCGACACGCAAGTAAAAAAGGGGCGTCAATGAGCTGAGCACATTTTGAGACGTCTCAAAGGGCGACACGCAAGTAAAAAAGGGGCGTCAATGAGCTGAGCACATTTTGAGACGTCTCAAAGGGCGACACGCAAGTAAAAAAGGGGCGTCAATGAGCTGAGCACATTTTGAGACGTCTCAAAGGGCGACACGCAAGTAAAAAAGGGGCGTCAATGAGCTGAGCACATTTTGAGACGTCTCAAAGGGCGACACGCAAGTAAAAAAGGGGCGTCAATGAGCTGAGCACATTTTGAGACGTCTCAAAGGGCGACACGCAAGTAAAAAAGGGGCGTCAATGAGCTGAGCACATTTTGAGACGTCTCAAAGGGCGACACGCAAGTAAAAAAGGGGCGTCAATGAGCTGAGCACATTTTGAGACGTCTCAAAGGGCGACACGCAAGTAAAAAAGGGGCGTCAATGAGCTGAGCACATTTTGAGACGTCTCAAAGGGCGACACGCAAGTGAAAAAGGGGCGTCAATGAGCTGAGCACGTGGAGAAAACAACTGCTGATCGCCCATGGCTCGGCTAAGGAGGAGAATAACATGGCAAAATGGGGGACGCACAAGTCAAATCGATTTCAACAATCAGCATGGGAAGGAGAAGAAAACTCCTCGCGGAATCATCTCATGCTCCTCCTGAGCCGACAACTCTATGAGACGTCTCAAACCTCTCAGCACCCACCCACCCACCCACTGCTCCCGCCCTACTCACCTTGAGAATCATCTCCTGTTGCTCTTGAGGCGACGCTCCTCAACTGAGAGCAGCAGCAGCCGCCACAGCAGCAGCAGCACCGGACGGCAGCATCCCAGCAGGCGACCCCACACTGGGCGACCCATCGGGCCACCCTTCTCCTCCCCTCCTCCCCTCTTCCCTTCCCACCCACCCTCCCTGCTCACCTTGAGAATCATCTCTTGCTGCTCTTGAGGCGACGCCCCTCGACTGAGAGCAGCAGCAGCCGCCACAGCAGCAGCAGCACCGGACGGCAGCAACCCAGCAGGCGACCCCACACTGGGGGACCCACCCCCCTCCTCCCCTCCTGCTTTTCCCCCCGCTCCTGCTGCTGCCGCTGCTGCCATCGCAGCTGCAGCAGCAGGGTTCCCAGCTACCCCCTTACTCAGTAACTGTCTCAGCTGCCGGTTTTCCATTTCTGTAGCCATACCCGCCCCGAATCCCACTAGGGACGTCCCTCCTGCCGCCCGCCCAGGCAGATTGCCGCCCAAACCCGCCCCACCACTCACCGCCCCAGCTCCCGCTCCCCCTCCCCCTTGCATTCCCGCTGCTGCGCCCGCCCCTGCTGCTCCCCCTGCTGCCCCCCCTGCGCCTCCCCCCGCGCCTGCTAGCCCTGCTAGCGCGCCTGCGTTGGTGATGAGGCCCTGTGCCTGTGCCTGCTGCAGCAGGTGCTGCTGCTGTATGGGCGAGAGCATCTGGTACTGGGGCGAGTTGAAGAGACGTGCAATCTGACGCATGGTGGTGGGGAGGGGAAGGGGGTATACGCCAAGGTAAGAGGATTAGTGAGAGGATTTTGCATCCGTGCCCCCTGCTGCAGCAGGTGCTGCTGCTGTATGGGCGAGAGCATATAGTAGTGGGCCGAGTTGAACAGCTGTGCGATTTGAGGCATGGTGGTGGGGAGGGGAAGGGGGTTAGGCAAAAGAGAGAGGATTCGTGAGAGGAGTTTGAACCTGAGCCTGCGCCTGCTGCAGCAGGTGGTGCTGCTGTAAGGGCGAGAGCATCTGGTACTGGGGCGAATTGAACAGACGTGCAATCTGAGGCATGGTAAAGGTGAGAGCATCTGGTTTGGGGTGGGTGGGGGCTTACCGAAAGACCTGCGGGCCAGTTTCCCTTCATCTGCTGCAACTGAGCCGACCTAGCAGCTGATGATATGCCTGGCGCGCACAGAACCAGGGGGAAGGTTGGCCCGGGAGGGGGGACGAAGGGAGGGGAGGGAAATGGAAAGCTGGTGATATGCACGATGGGCCAGTTGCCCTTCATTTGCTGCAACTGAGCCGACCTAGCAGCTGACGATATGCCTGGCGCGTATGGAAGCAGGGGGAAGGGGGGACGTCGGTGGGGGAGAGGGGAGGGGACGGAAAGGGAAAGCCAATGATATGCCTGACGTGTACGAATTCAGGGGTGGGGCGAGGGGCAGCGGAGGGAGGTGAGGGGGGAAGGGGGAGGAGGTATGCAGGGACGGGTAAGTACGATGGAGAGAGGGAGAGAGGAAAGAGAGGAAGAGAGGAAAGACTGTGTGTATTGCGAACGAGAGAAAGATGGGGATGCAAAGAAGGGGAGTAATCACTGATGGGCATTGACTTGTGCGGAACCAAATCCGACAATCAAGTCGGACACACCTTGTGCCATGGACGCGAGTGCATTGTCAGATATGGCCGATCCTGCCCGCCCCGACATGACTGCATGCACATCTGCCTTGCTCTCCTGCTCGCACAGGGGACAGCGGACAAGTTAGTTATACGATAGAAAGAAACAAGTCAAGGACATGGGATTAGAACAACAAGAACTGCCCACCCTGACATGACCACATGCACATCTACCTTGCTCTCCTGCTCGCACACAAGTCACCTGGACGACAAGGATACCAACCACCTATGACTCCTCCTTGGTATGGGGCAGACGCGATGTAGGAGCAGGGGAAGGGTGACTTTTGAGTCGACTCAAAAGTCACCTGGACGACAAGCATACCAACCACCTACGACTCCTCCTTGGTGTGGGGAAGACGCGATGTAGGAGCAGGGGAAGGGGAAGAGACTGGTGAAAAAGGGATAGCGCGAACAAAAGGAAAGAAAGATTAACGGAGGAGGGAGAGGTACGGGAAGTGGGGGATCACCTGGCTAACGCTAGGGGATGCAGCTCCAGCTGGTGGCATCATTTGCTGTTGCTGCTGCTGTTGTTGCTGTTGTTGCTGCTGCTGTTGCTGTTGCTGCTGCTGCAACTGCTGTTGCTGTTGCTGTTGCTGTTGCTGTTGCTGTTGCTGTTGTTGCTGCTGTTGCTGCTGCTGCTGCTCCTGCACGTGCTCCTGCATCTGGTGCTGCTGCTGCAGTTGTTGCAGCTGCTGCTGCAGCTGCTGCAGAGGCAGCTGCGGCAGCCCCTGGGACTGGGACTGTGACTGCGCTGGCTGCTGCTGCTGCTGACTTTGCTGTTGGTTCTGCTGCTGCTGCTGCTGCTGCTGCAAGTGCTGTTGCTGCAGGGACTGTTGGGACATGCCTGCCGCGTTGCCAACGGTCGCCAGGTGCCTATAAAAGCAACAGCAGAGGGCGGGACGTAACAAACAAAGAGAGGCGACTTTAGTGGGATTAGCTGGAGTGGGGAAGCAGAGAACATGTGACGGAGCAAGACTTTTGAGTCGACTCAAAAATCAGCTGGAGTGGGGAAGCAGAGAACATGTGACGGAGGAAGACTTTTGAGTCGTCTCAAAAATCAGCTGGAGTGGGGAAGCAGAGAACATGCGACCGAGGAAGCAAGGATGGTTAAGTGAAGGGGGAGGAAGTACGGAAGGTTCAAGGAAGTGCCAGTGGTGTGATGAGCGATTGGAAAAAGTATGAAAGAACGAGGGTGGGTGGCGACAGAGAGGGAAGGGAGAAAGAGAGAGCTTACCTCTGCTCAGTATGGGAGATTGTTCCGTACATAACAGCATGAGATCGTCAGTGGCGAATCCAGCATGAGTCGTGTACGTATGCCACGCAACCATGGCACACAGACAGACCCACACACGCCAGTCAGTCGTAGGGGGCATACAGACGGAGGAGAGCAGAGCACAGCACACATAGGGAGCACGTGAGGAAGAGACGTGAGAGGAGCACGTGAGGGGCGCATGAGAGCGCTGGGAGCATTGAACAGCAGCCCATTTCAGCTAAGGTGGGGGAAGACCAGAAACATTGGTTTGGCTTCAGCTTCCATTCAGAACGCAATATGCACTCTCCCCAAACGCTCCAACTCTGTAAACTATGAACTCACACACACCACTGCGTATGCTTATACTGCTCACCCTGAGTGCAGCCTCGTCCATGCTCGCCCTGCTCTCCGCCCTCGCCAGCTGCGCCTGCTTCGGCCGCTCCTCATACAGCCGGCAGGTCGCGGCCCAAACCCACTTTGGCCCACTAAAAACCCACCAGAACCTGTACATCACCAACACACTCACGTCACTGTCTGCGGTACTCACCCTGAGAGCCGCAGCCTCATCCATGCTCGCCCCGCTCTCCGCCCTGGCCAGCTGCGCCTGCTTCAGCCGCTCCTCATACAGCCGGCTCGCCAGCACACCACTCGCTGCCTGCCTCAACCCCGCCTCCCCTGCTACACCTCCCGCAACGCCGTTCGCCACTCCGTTCCCCCCCAGCCCTGCCAGCTGCCCCGCCTCCCGCCGCTGCTGCTGCAGCTGCCGTTGCTGTAGCTGCATTTGCAGTTGCTGTAGTTGCAGCTGCTGCAGCTGCTGCTGCTGCTGTTGCTGAGAAGAAGCTGCGGGTTGTGGTGGCAGTGGCGGGGGGGTTGGCTGCGACGCTGCTTGCTGCTGCTGCTGTTGCGGCTGCTGTGAGGGGGGCTGCATTTGCGACTGCTGCTGCTGCTGCTGGTGAAGGCTCTGTGCTTGCTGCTGCTGCTGCTGCTGCTGCTGCTGCTGCTGCTGCTGCTGCTGCTGTTGCATTCCAGGAAGCACGGGCAATTGTTGCTCATCCTGCTGCATTGGATCCTCTCTTCCCTGCTGCTGCTGCGGCTGCTGGTTCAGCTGTTGCGGGGTCACGGCCTGCTGGGTTGCCTGGTGTGGGGATGGTTGGATGGGACCGCCTAGCTCTTGCTTCAGCTGCTGCCTTTGCTGGGCCCTCTGCTGCCGCTGCAGCTCCCTTGCTTTGATCTGCTGAGTCTGGAAGCAGGGACATGTGAAAGCAAGAGAGAAAGAAAGAGAGAAATAAAATCTCATGTCGACAGCAGAAACGGGTCATGACAGTAGAGGGGGACTCTGCAGAAAAACAAAAAGAAACTCTGTTAGTTTGACTGGAGTTAGGGATACCTACCTCGATATAGGAAGCCGCGACTTCGGAATGCTTCTCATTGGTCCGTGCGATAAATATGTCCCAGAACACCGACCACCACTCGAAAAGGAACCCTCCAGGAGCATTTATGGCTGCAGACACCCACCAAAGAGTTTATCAAATTTGCGGAGAGAACAATGCAGGATGCAGCAAAAGATATCGGTACGACCATGAACGATGCAGGATGCAGGAACGATGAAGAGAGAACAGAGGCGGGGCCGTACCGACGGGGTCTGACGAGACTTTCGCCTCGGCGAGAAACGTTTCCGCGGATTTCGGCAAGCCTCGCTTGCATAGGTAGTCGTAAATGTACACATCCAGCCTGGAAGCAATAACCGGGTAACCAGAATTAGCGAAAGAAAGACGCAGGAAAATGAAGACCTCAGTTGGTCACGTTGCAGCCGAAGCCCTAGAAATAATAAGATAATGGGAAAGCGTTTGACGCCGGCTCATAAGAAATTAAGAAAGCGAAGAAAATGTGGGAAAAAAAAAGGACAACAAGGCATTATTTTCAGAAGACAGGAAATCGTAACGAAGAGGAGAGGGGAGACTGTTGGCTTCAGGATAAGGCTTCATCGAACGCCTTTACAATGTTGCGGACATGACGACATCAACTCCAATGCGAGTGGCTCTATGATATCTATAGCGCCTCGAAAGCCGGCGTTCGCAACGTTGCGCACGTACTATATTCATGACACGGCCGGGAAAACGAGCCTGGGGAATTTTTTTTTTTTTTTGCTTTGCTCGTGACCCTACGGTAGAACCTAGGGTCTGGAAAACGTACATTTTGTCGGCCTCCCAGCTGTTGTGTGCCATAGTCCGATTACGTGAAAACGCGACTCGCCTCAAGAGCACTTATCACGGCCAAAACTCTCGCAATTCAACACGGCATGCGACGACCTATCATTGCTGGACAGTTAGTGTGCTCAAAGCTTTGTTCTGGTCACATTGTCAGCTTAGCAGCAACGGGCTATATTCCCTGCTAGACTGATCAGGCAAAGTCAGTCAGTCAGCACATGGTCCCACGTGCGCCGCCTGTAACAGAAACTCCCTCGACGCTGGGGAGAGAAGGAAAATGCACCCTAGAAAACTGTTGCTCCACTGCTGCACTACAAGGTTCGTTTGTTCTCCTCCAGAAAATAGCTTGACTTGTGACTCTGCTTCCTTGACCTACACCCCACAGGCCTCCTCTCTCAGATAACGAAGCATAAATGCAATGATGCGAGTTTCAGTGTGGTTTGGAGCAATTTAAAATTTTGCAGAGCGGTACGACGCACTTTGAGTGCTTCTCTGTGTAATCAGCAGCACCTCTCCAACTCCAAACCACCCCCATGACCGCTTGGCCTGCGCATGTCAGCCAAAAAGGACGGCCGAGTTGCCTGCCTCACTCGTTCCGCCCTGTGCCCTCCACCCACCCTCATCAGTCATCACCCTCGTGCTTCCCTTCCCTGACCTCCTCCTACATCCCTCTGTCGAACCTCACCCATTCGCGCAAAGACAGACCAGGCTTGGCTTGGCACACGGACGGCCCCTTCCGTCAAACTTCCCCGAGCCTAGCGATGGGCTGCAGCTCTGAAAAGGCGCAATCAGACCAGAATCATCGGGCAACCGAAGCTCAGCTCTCCTCTCTGCACCTCATCCCAGGCTCGGGCCAGCATGCTCGAGCCAACAACTTGCCATACCTGAAACATACCTACGTCATGTCTTCGAGCTTCGTGGCTTTGCCAAACCTCTCCATATCTTCCTCCGCACGCGCCCGCATGTTCTTCTGTGTTGTTCAATATTGCCAGGTTCGGCAGCATATCTCGTCAAACATCCATTTACCTATTTTCTAGAATGTACACTTTAATCCCTGAACATGTCAGATTCAGTATAACAGCTCAAGAAATGTCCAAGCCATTCAAAATGTGACTGTCGTGTCATCTACACGGCCATTCTCCTGCTTGCCTAGTGCCTGCATCTAAGAGGGAGGCGGAAGGTGACGCTTTTACCCCGCAAACTACAACCTCTAGCACCCTTTAAATCTGACACTACCTCTGTGTATGGTCTAAGCATATTGTGCTGGCAAGTAAAACCCTACAACATTACTATGCACGCATTTGGTGCATGGAATTGTAGTCGTACACCAACTCTCGAATAAGCAGCTAAAACTGGGTGAGAGGAACACACTCCTCCTCCCCAAGCTCAGCTGCATCGTCCGCACTAGGCTGCTGCCCATGCCCGTCGTGCCGGCCTGACTCCTTGAGTCCTTGCGAGTAATCCAGGTACGTGTTGAGGAAGAAGATTGGCACGAGCATCACAACGAAGATGTACAGGAAGGCGGGCCGGATCTTCCCCGTGAACTGCATCACGGCACGAACGAGGGGGAGAAACAGTTATCCATGTGACGAAGCGCAACACTAATCGAGCACAGCGCACACAAGCTGAGATGATCACAAAGCAAACGAGGTGAAAGCGGCATGAGGGGTCGGGGGTTGGGGGTGGGTGAGGTTGGGGAGGTGGGGAAAAGAGTGGATAAGGGAGGATAAGGGGGCGATGGGAAAGAGGAACAAGTGAAGAGGTCACTAACGGGTTGACAAAAGTTGCCAAGCTCCTTACCTGAGCAATAGCCGCCACAACAAAGGGCCCCAGCCACGAGCTGCCCTTGTCGCTGATGGCGTAGAGCGAGAAGAAGGCACCCTCGCGGCCCTTGGGAATTAGGTCCACAAACAGTGTGCGCGAGTACGAGATCAGCGGGCCCAGGCAGAACCCAAACCACCCCGAGTACGCAAACAGCTCCCACGACGCCTTCAGCCCGAGCCCGCCGTCCGGGGTAAAATACCCTAGCAAACCCCACAGCGGCAGCGGCAGCATGGCGGTCAGCAGCGCGACGACCATCGTCTTGTTGTTCCACCCGAGCCGCTTCTGAAGGTAGTAAGCCAACGGCATCCCAAGCGCAGCCCAGAAGGAGACCGAGGTAGCAATGACGGCTAGCATTGCGGGTTCCACACACAGGTCGTGCTGACCGAACAGCACCCCGACTTGAATCACAGTGGAGAACCCATCCGCATAGATGAAATAGCACAGCATGAAGACAAACGCGTTCCGGTACCGCCTCGCCTCGGAGACCAGCGCGCCCATGTGCCGCCAGCTAGCGACGATGGTCAGGGCGGCGTTGCCGCCCGCGCCGCCCGCGGTGGCGGAGGCGGGCGGCGGCGGGCCCGGGCGGGTGCGGAGCCAGAGGAAGGTGAAGATGGAGAAGACGAGCCACCAGAGGCCGCAGAAGGCCCCTGCGAGGCGCATCTTGAGCAGGTCGGTGGTGGCTGCGAGCGTGATGACAAAGGCGGCTAGGGTCGCCACCACGTCTGCCAGGCAGCCCGCTGCAAGACCGATGAGGGAGATGCGGTTTTCAACCTGAGGGGGGGAGGGGATGGCGGAGATGGTAGGTGGGGAGAGGAGGGAGGGAATGAACGATGAGCAAAAGTGGAAGGCAGATGCCACGACTGTTTTTGAGGTGCCTGAAACATAGACCCTCAGCCCCTCGCCTGTTACCCCTCCCCCTTACACCTCGCACATATCACCCACCTGTTCCCGGATGGACGCAAACGCAATCCTCTCGTTGTCTATAATCGAGGCTCCTTAAAGACTCTCACCCCCACGCCCCTTAGACCTCGCACGTATAACCCACCCACCTGTTCCCGGATAGACGCAATCTTCTCCTTGTCGCCTGACACCTCAGCATGCATCACTGCTGGCGTGGCATCCACCAGCACAGGCAGATAGCTGCCAGCAGGGCACAATCGGGGCATCGCAGGATGGAAAAGGGACGGGGCGATGGCAGGAAAGGGAAGGTGAGGAAGAAGCGGGTAACCCTTGGCAGGGAGTTAGGGGACGACTCAAAGATACCACGGAGAGTGATTGGGGTTGGGGGTATGGACGGGCCGAGCCGAGATAAGAGACAAGGGAGGTTAAGACAAGGGCGACTAGGATCATGCCAGCAAAGAGTTGAGGGCCGAAGGAATGGAATCGAGAAAACTTAGTCCCTCAACTCTTGCTGCCGTGCTACTTGCATGCACGCATGGGAGAAGCGTGATCGACAGGCCCACAGCACTTTCATGCACGTTATAGGCTTTGATTTCTCACATTTTGCAGCTGATGGTGCAGTGGAGTGGACGTAGCCCACGTTGACAACGATGACGAGCCGGCCAGCTTATACCTCACAAAAACCATAAACATTCACACGCGTTATAGGCTTGTTCCTGTCTCACCTGTTGTAGCTGACGGTGCAGAGGCCATAGCCAACGTTGGCGATGATGACGAGCAGGCCAGCGAACCACCAGTAGGAGCTGTCGCCCAACACACCGATCACAATGGATGGCACCACGCCGATCAGCGTTCCCACCTTGAGCAGCTGGAGAGTGGGAGAGGGAGAGGGGGGTGGCGAGGGGTGGAGAGGGGTTGGAGAGGGTGGATAACAAAGGGGAAGTGTTAAGAAAAGGTGCGAGTGATGACGAGCAGGCCAGCAAACCACCAGTAGGAGGAAGGGGAGTGGGGGAAACGTGCGGAGTGGGTGGATAACAAGGGCGAGAAGAAGAGGCAAGAAGGATGACTCGCAGCCATGCCAATGGTGAGGATGGATGGAAGGGCCAGTGCCATAGTCCGTGCAAGGGCGGAATGGAACGAGAGCATCAAGAGAACATCCCACACTCTCTGAATGCCGTTACTCACGTCCATGCGGCCAGTGCCATAGTCCGTGAAGGGGCCAAAGGAGATGAGCGCGAAGACTTGGCAGATGACAGCGATGCCGATGATGATGGTGGCGTATGACACGGGGTTCACTGCCAGGGGACCCGCGTGCACCATGGGCAGAATCAGGTCCTGGTACCTGCCAGAGGGAGGAGGGAGAGAGGAGAGGGTGGGGAAAGGGGAGAGGGAATGCTGGTATTTGAGACTTTTCAGAATACAGATGACAGCAATGCCGATGATGATGGTGGCGTATGGCATGGGTGTTTCGGGCCGAACATTGTTCGAACCTCAGATGTCCTGTGTTTGGTTCGAATGTCATTCATCTCGTCCAATTAGAAGGCAACCAGGAGTGGTTCCGCGACCATGCCTTCTACTTTGTTCGCATTAGGCTTAGGCCCATTTTGTTACTTCACTCCCTTTCTACCACGCACGTACCCCGCAGCGGTGACGAGCTGGTCGCCGCGTCCCGGAATGCATTTGACGCAGTTGATCGACACGGAGTCGCTGCAGTTGGGCGGCTTCGAGTCCCCCGCCTGCATACACGCGTGGTACGCGTCGGAACAAAAAGAAACGGACCGGGAAGCAAATACGATGCATTGTGCCTCGCAATCAGGTGGAAATATAAGAAACTCTCCGTTTGCCTGCAAAAAGGAACATAATCTCCTTTTTCCAGTTTCGTTGTTGCATCCGCGACGAGGAGAATAGTGTGAAACCCGTGAGCGAGAAACAAAAAAAAACATTTCTAGCTTGTTCACTGTTACAGAGAAAGGAAGGATCCGCACCTGTAGCCACGCGTGTGCTTCAGCGAGCAGGAGAAACAGGAGCGAAGAAGTTGATGCTCGGAAATTGCTACATCACCTTGTTCCCGGTAATGTAGGGGGGAAAGGGATGATGTGATGTATCGCACCTGTAGCCATGCGTGTGCTTCGGCGAGCAGGAGCAGCAGGAGCGGGAAGAAGATGGGCATGGCGACGGAGCTGAAGGCGTTGACGGCCACATTGTACGAGTACCACCCGTACAGCTCCCACTTGTTCACCGGCGTCTTCTTATCGCTCGGCTCTAGCCCTACCGATGCTAGACTCGACATGGCTGATGCAGATGCAGTATTGACTGCTTTGCTTTCCGAAATATGCGAGTTTGGGTGTGACGAGCAGGTCCTGATACCGGAAATGCTGAGGAGAGCACAACGAAAGTTTTCCTGCTGCAAATGGTGGAAACAAGCTACAACGCGGATCCTCACTTAGTCAAAGTCTTACACTGAACCAGTTCCTGGGGCAGTGCTCAATCTACCAAGCAATGTCTGAGAATAGAGCACTCTAGAGAAAAGAAAAGCAGTGGTATATCATTTGCGGTCTTGGGCATGGATTGTCAAAGCACTGAGTACAACTTCAGAGACTGAGTGAAACCAAGAGGAAACTGGGAGAACTCATTTCTCTCGGATTTGTGAATTCGGTCGGATCTCCCCGTTCAGTCCTGCTCCGCCTTTCCCGCCTTGTGTTCTCGTGCAGGAATATTACAGGAGCCTACGAGGTTCCTGATTGGTTGCGATTTTCCGGCAACGTCTAGGGAGTGGTGGGTTCGGAACTCGACAGCCAAGTCCTGCGCCTTGCGCCTGACACAAGTCTTTCCGTCGAATCGCTGCCGTCCGTAGCCTCACCTCACCTCACCGCATCTCATCTCCACCGCTTGGTTAGCCCTGGCTCACCTACAAACTGATCGCGTAACAAGAGCAGAGAAATAAGTCGGATATGACTACACCGCACATCCTGAACTCCGTATAGATACATCTCAAATTCATATGTCATCATCACCCTACCGGTGTCGTTTGCCACCAGCTTTTGACAACCCCGTAGCCTTGGCCAATGGTCCAGAGGTGGCGGGTGCGGAGCTCTCAAGGCCTTCTTTCCCATGCCCACGCTTCCTATGAGATACGTTTTCCATACGTTTGCCGCACGAAAGTTTGTTGCGAGCCATATGGGGGCATGCTACGGTAGATTGTAGAGGTAAAAAGGCTTGCACATACGCTCAGCTCAATCCCATCATTGGTTGAGAACAGATGCAGGGTCGACCGACGCCGCGGAACATCAAGGAGGAGGTCTGGCGATACTCTTTACTTGGGATTGTGATGCTTTATCAGCGTGGTAGCTGTTGGGGGGGGAATAGTGTGCCGGATCCCTTTGCAAGTTCAGCTGAGCATCCTTGACGCACTCTGCTGCGTCCTGAAGTGGTTGAAGGGCTGCCCAAAGGACGAAGCAGACACACTTATCTGTTGAGATATGAAAACAGGAATGGTGAATGACTATCGTAGCAACAGGGAGATGCGAGTATAAAAACCTAACTACCTAACTGGTGTTGTACTCTCTACTGAGCACCTCACTGTAGCCTAGCAGAACTAGGAACATACAAATATGTTTTGACATAATTCTCATAGCCTTTCCACACCTCATATTGGGTGTACCACCATCTTAAGCAAGCCATGCATGGACCACAGAGCTTAGATCATGGAGCGCCTGGGAGAGTTTTGTGGGGGGAGGTGGCACCTAGCTGTACGATTCCGCTACGGCCGCAGCACGCTGTCAAACTATATCCGTGCTAGTTCTGTGTAGGCTATAATGGGGTCGCCAATATCGGGTACAACCCAATGTTAGGGTTAGTACTTGTACCCACAATTCATTCAATATAGTCATTCTAGCTTCTCAGTTTGACATGGTTTCGGAGCAGTAGGTCAGTAGGACCGTTTTTTTTTTTCGGGCCCACCATTCCGACTGCAGTTACCGTGTTACCCCACTGCCCTACCCCGCGTCGCGCCACCTGCGCGCTGCCCTTGCTAGCTGCGCGCCACTTATGCAGCGTGCGTTTTTCTCTAGCGCGCTGCCCCATCTGCGCCCCGCGCGCCGCCTGTAACCCCGCGCGCCGCCTGTAGCCCCGCGCGCCGCCTGTAGCCCTGCGCGCCACCTCTAGCCTCGCGCGACGCCTGTGGCCAGGTTCTTAGCCTCCCGTCTTCTACTGGCCTCCCGTTACGGCCAGACCCTTCTCTTCTTGCTCCTTCTCCTTACATTCAGCAGACAGACTCGCTTACAGGGCGTCGTGGGGCGAACATTGTCAGTGGCATGTGGATTTTCAGGGTGAAGTGGCCGCCGGGTTCTCCGCCTATCTTCAAGGCACGTTACGTTGCACGAGGCTTCAGTCAGAGACAGGGAGTTAACTTCTTCCAGACCTTCTCTCCTACCCCGAAGATGACAAGTCTTTGAGATCTGCTGCACGTCGCCGCTCAGCGTGACTACGAGCTTCACTCTCTTGACTTCAGCACTGCTTTCTTGCAGGGCAACCTGCGCGAAGAGAACTGGATGCGCCGCCCACCTGACTTCACTGGGTCGTTTCCTGCAGGTACCTAGTGGAGCCTTCGGCGGCCAGTCTACGGTCTCCGTTAGGCGCCTCGCGAGTGGCACGATACACTGAGGACGACGCTTGCGGCCCTTAATTTGCTCCTTCGACTGCTGACCCGTCGCTGTTTCTGCGCACCGACACTTCACTGCCGCCGTTTTACATCCTCGTGTACGTCGACGACTTGGTCTTTGCCACTGCGGACACTGAGGGACTCGCCCTTGTGAAGTCAGAGCTGCAGAAGAGACACACGTGCACAGACCTGGGAGAACTGCGCAGCTATCTTGGCTTGCAGATCACCCGGGACAGAGCACGACGCACCATTACCCTGACTGAGTCACACATGGTGCAGCAGGTCCTTCAGCGCTTCGGCTTCACGTACTCCTCGCCACAGTCCACTCCTTTGCCTACCGGTCACTCGTTCTCAGCTCTCTCTTCGGATGAGTTCGTAGAGCCGAGTGGCCCGTATCCAGAGCTTGTGGGCTACCTCATGTACCTGATGACCTGCACTCGACCTGACCTTGCTTACCCTCTTAGCATCTTGGCACACTACGTTGCGCGCAGGAGACACCGACCAGAGCACTTGGAGGCCGCTAAGAGGGTGATGCGCTACTTGTGCAGTACATCGGGCATGGGGCTCGCGCTTGGAGGACGGGCTCGAGTTGTCCTCACTGGTCACGCAGACGCTTCTTGGGTTGACGACTTGGCTACGCAGCGGTCGTCACAGAGTTACACTTTCAGCCTTGGCTCCGGCTCTGTTTCTTGGTGGTCTACCCGCTCGTCTTCTGTTCGCAGTTCTAGTTGTAAGGCTGTGATATGCGCAGGGGCTATGGCTGCACAGGAGTTACGCTGGCTCACCTACCTGCTGACCGACTTGGGCGAGGCGTCTTGTTCTCCTCCAGTTCAGTACGTCGACAACAAGGCCATGATTGCCTTGTGTCAGGAGCACAGACTGGAGCACATAACGAAGCAGATCGCTTTGCGTTACTTCCTTGCTCGAGAGTTGCAACACCGTGGACAGCTTCGTCTTGCTTACGTGGCCTCTCAGGCTAACACTGGTGATATCTTCACCAAGGCACTTCAGCCTTGTGATCATCAACGAATTTGTACTGTTCTAGGCCTTGTGCCTACTTGGCCTCACTTGCTCACCTCTTGACTTTGTTTGTACTGTGATCTATATACGTGTAGCCGCATGCTTACTCTTGCTATATTTTTATCATTGTCTTGCTTGTTCTGTTTCATATAACATTGTATGTGAACCGGCCTTGTGGCCATTTGCTTGTGCTCGGAGTGTGTGGTGACGTTGTGATCCATCCTGAGCTTGCTTTGCTTTTCTTGACTGGCCCTTTGACCCCTTGTTCTCCCCCACTTTGCCTAAGGGGGTGTGTCAAACTATATCTGTGCTAGTTCTGTGTAAGCTATAGTGGGGTAGCCAATATGGGGTATAACCCAATGTTAGGGTTAGTACTTGTACCCACAATTAATTGAATACAGTCATTCCAGCTTCTCATTTTGACACACGCTCTTCGGTAGCTTGTGTGCCAGTTGCTCCAGTCGCCCGTGTGCCAGCAGCTTCATCTGCCGCCTCCTACCTCCTCTTCTCTCATAGTCCCTCCTCCTCCTCACTTGCCCTCTCCTTCTGCTGCGTTCTGCAGGGTTTACCACTTTAGAGGGTGTTATGCACATGGCTATTCCTGCATGCACTTAGGGGGTGTGTCAGAATATATATTATATATATTTATATATAAGTGCATAAAGCTATAGCTATAGCTCTAGCTATAGTGTAGTTACTGTAGTTATTGTTACAAACTGTTGGTGGTGCACCTTTCCTTGCTTGTTTGTTCTCTATTTGTACCCTTTGCTCAATAGTGAAACCCTTCTCCTTGCTCCAATTCTCTCGATAGTCATGCCTAGCCTAAACCCTAGTATGGCTCCTAGTCTCTCCCTCAAGCTACTATTTTGACACCACTCAGCCCCTTCCTCTTTGTTTCGTGCAATAGAAGGTCATAGAGCTTGTCATAAAGGAGTTCGTGGAGTCTTGTTCCTGAGCTACGCGAACGATATATACTCTAGAGCATGAAACTCGGATCCGCGGAGCAGTTGGAGAGGGTGGGGATGCAGGTGCGGGCACACCAGGGTTTGTTATACCTTTTGGTGGTTGTAATTGTGCTGTTTTTTTTTCCCTTGAGGAATTACACCATATTGAGTATGCTTAACTGTAGCATTTTAATAATTCCCACTGAAACCAGGCAATTTCCACAACCAGCGTGCCAGCAGAACCCGAGCACTTGGTTGGCATTTCCCATGACAATTTCGATGGCTTCCTCTTCAATGACTGCTCTCGATGTCCTTCAGAGCTGACCACAATGTACCGACCAACCTTGGGTTCTTTTCCTAGTAACCAACTTCCAGGCAGTTCATGAGGGAAAAGCCTAGTCGATCGTCTCGGTCTGATGCCAGTGCATACGGAAATGTCGAGTAGACTTAGCAATCTTTCTGGCAAGACGGACAAACAATCTTGAGCTCTGATGCATACAGCTTCATTCTAGCAATTTCCAGCCATGGATGAGACAGCGTCGCTCTTCTTCCAGCTTACTCCGCAGCAATCTCTCCCGCCTCGGGTGAACGACGTTCCCGCAGCCGCCGATTGGTTGCGAAGCTTCGCCGGTCACAGCTGGCTGGCTTACGGCGCAGGTGGCTGCGTTGTAATCACAACCGCTCCGTGGCTCGTGCACGGCAGCGGCGCGCGAGAGGACAGCCTGCCACGTGGCGCCCGTTTCTATCACCAGGTCCTGGAACTCCCGCCGTCGCTCAATCCAGAATCTGCTGATGTGGATCTCGCGAACCGCTCATTCCCAATCTTGGCTGACCAGAGGAGACCAGAAGAGGAAGCTGCAAGAAAATTTCCGTGTGTGGAGGATAGGGATCAGGTAGCCGTTGTGACATGGGCAGCACCGGATAGCACCTTGGCGGGCGTTCTAGCTGCAGCTAAGGGAACATGCATTTACCTCTTTGCTCCGAGTTGCCAAGGTAATCAACACCTTGATTGCTAATTCTTTCACTTTTGCACGCAAATCATCTCCCCGTTATGGAGTCTCAGTTGGTTGATCCTGGTTCTTTCTCGAAATCATTGTACTTAATAGAGTTCTAAACTACTCCCCTTACCTCTGTTCATCCCTTGTGCAGAGATCTCCTTCTTGTAGCTGCCTGCCGCATGTACCCAGTTCCCTTCTGGTGTCAATTCTCGTAACAAACAGTTTGAATGAACTGCAATCCTTCCACTGCACCTTCTGTTCGTCTCTGCGGATATCACTCTCTCATGGCGGCCTGCTCAGCTGATTCAGTTCCCTTCCAAGGCGGCAAATGCCCCTAAATCAATCTCCTCCCTCCTGCTCCTTTCTGTGCCTCACTCTCTCGTCTCTGCAGATATCCCCCTCTCATGGCGACCCGCTCAGTTGATCCATCCAGTTCCCTTCCAAGGTCATCTCCCTCGGCTGGACTTACTGGGTTAGGAGGCAGTTTGAACATCCAAGACCCCTTTTCCCTTTGCCTTTGCTGTTCGTTTCTGCAGACATCCCCCTCTCATGGCGGCCTGCTCAGCTGATCCAGTTCCCCTCCAAGGTCATCTCCCTCGCCTGGACTGGTTCAGCAGACAGCCTTCTGATCAGCGGCGAATCGAATGTCGCCATGTGGCATCGTTCCAAGAAGAAGCAGCTGAACGCGCCCCTGCTGCAGCCGCTGACGTGTCTGTGGCAGGTGCAGACAAGTGTCGCGCAGGGACTGGCTGCGACCTCGCTGCATGCGGATGGGTTTGCTGCTACTGCTGATGTGGCAGTAGGAGAAGGAGGAGGAGGAGTTGGAGGAAGAGTTGGGACAGCGTGGGGACGGCCGAAGGGTATGGCTAGGGTCTGGTATTACTGGGGAGACCAGTGCTCCACATCTGATGGTGGTGGTGATGGTGATGGCCATGGGGAGGTTGCAAGCAGACATCAATTGGTTAACGGGACGAGTGAGGGAGTTGTGGGTGTTTCAGGAAGAGATGACTCAGGAGCGGGTGTAGGGGATATGGAAGGCGATGACGATGGGGAGGGTGCGGAGGAGGATGGTGAGGATGATGAGGAGGAAGAAGAGGACGATGATGCGGTGTCTGTTGTTGATCTGCCACACCCCGCACCTGTGCTGGCAGTCCAGTGGAGGCCACAAGATACAGCCTCCAAGCCTTTGTCTTCTTCTGGGGTAGGTGCAACTAGTGCAGGTGGAGCTGGAACGGGTGGATCAGGTTCGGCGCCGTACCACCGTCCGATCCTGTTGACCTGCTCTGACGATGGCACAGTACGGCTCTGGATGGAGATTGACAGTGGCAGCAGTCGAGCCAAGGCTGGAGGCTCGGCAGGAGCAGCAGGTTCGGGGAGCCGGACCGGGAGCAGATTGAGCTCGCCGAAGCACCCTGGGAGCAGCAGGTACGGGAACCAGAACGAGAATCCGAACCTGGAGGCTGGGTTCGGTCAGAAGAGAAGGAAGGGGGCAGAGAGGCAATCATCTGAAGAGGGGAGATGGGCGCCCCCTCCTGCTTTCTTTGTCTGCGCTGTTGTTGATGGGAACATGACACTTGGAGGGAGATTGGGAATGGATATATCTGTGCTGTGGGCAAAAGAGGTGCGGGTGGGTGATGGGAGTAAGAGTGTGAGTGTGGGAGGAGGGGGAGGGGGAGCAGCAGGAGGAAAGGGGTCATTCGGGGTTGAGGTGATACAGGGAGGTGACGTGGCGCCCTGTGAGTGGCTGGTTGGCGTGGGGCCACGTGGGACTGTGGTTCTCTGGGCAGTGTTTTGCCTGGATGACACTTCACCTCCTCGCTGTCCACGCGTGATGATGTGGCAGCAGGCAACTGGCGTTCTTCAGGATAAGGCTCTCAGCCACAGCAATCACACGCACCTTCAGAGTTACAGCAATCACACCCACCCTTCCAGCCCCACAACCCACCTCATATCAGCCATCGTGCAAAGAGTTACCGGCCAGTCCGGGAGCCCTCCCATGGCTGTCGAAATCGCAGAGAAGCTACCTGGAAGCTTCGTGCGCTGGTCCCGCCTGTGGCCGCCCGTGCTAGCGATCGGAGCCGGGGGGAAACTTGGGGGCAGGATTGGTGGCAGCGCGGCGGATGGGCATGGGGCAACAGGGGGGGTCGGCGGAGGGGCAGCACAGCATGGCAGTACGGGCTACAGCAGCCACAACAGCAGCAGCAGCAGTCACATGAGCAACAGCGGCGGCGGTGCCATTGCGAGCAGCAGGAGGGCAGCATGGGGATCAGTGAGTCAGCACGTGCATCTGGCAGGGCACAGAGGGGCGATCACAGAGGTAGCTGTCCACCCAGCTCCAGGCTTCCCTCTTGCTGCCACCTTAGATGCTCATGGTGACACTCTCCTGTGGGGCCCTCGCGCCCCTCCCTGGCTCCCCCTCCTCACGGAAACCCCGGAAGGTGCTTCTAACGAGTGGGTTCTGCTGGGCTCGCTTCCGCCAGCTGTCCCAGGCAGTGGGGGAGGTGGATATGAGAGGGGTTTTGCACGGCTGGCATGGGCGCCTGTTCTGCTGCCAGGTGGCGGCAGCGTATTGGCTGTTGCTGGCACTGGGAGTGTGGAGCTGTATCTGGTGAGGCGTATACGTGAGGAAAGGGATGGCGAGCATTCAGGGGGGGGCGAGCATCATGGGGGGCATGGGGGTCCGGGGGGGGGTTATGCTGGTGATGCAGAGGAGGAGCGTGTAGAGTGCAGCTGGCTGTGCTCTCTCACTCTCCTGAACGCATTCCCTGAAGCACCTGTAGAGGAAGCTGCAGGTGGTGCTACCACAGCTGCCGCTACAGCTGCTGCCACAGCTGGTCCGTTCCTGGGTGTTGCCTGCCTGCCTCACACGCCCCACTCTGCCACCCATTCTGCATCCTCAACTCCAACGAATTCAGCAGCTGCAGGTCCTGCCAGGCCAGGCAGAGGAGAGAGGAGGGGGATTCGAGTGGTGGGTGTGGGACAGGGCGGGCTGTGTGTGTGCGTGTGGACTGTGGAAATATGCGTTCAGAGGGGTGAGGCAAGGGCGAGAGTGCACACAGAGAAGGAGTCCGTGGGATTTAGGGCTATTACTGACGAGGGGAAAGCAGGGGAAGGCGAGGAAAGAGCGGAAGGAGTGGAGGGAGCAGCATGGGAAGAAAATGCTGTTGGCTGGCTGGTGGGTGTGTGTGGAGCCGAGGGAGGAGGGGAGGAAGGAAAAGGAGGGGAACGAGGGGAGGGAGAGGGCGGAGAGGGGGTGGCAGCTGTAACGACAAGCACACGTGTGATCAGGTTTCCCAGCAGCCGCCGGGTCACGTGCCTGCACTGCGCCCCTGTGAATGACTCCATATGGGCGTCTCCTCTTAAAGCAGGTGGTGCAGGTGGTGCTTTGCATCAGGGAGGAGGGAAACATGCCGCTGCTGATGGTACAGGGACAGCTGGTACTGCTGGTGCGTCTGGTTCTTCTGAACTGCAGGCATTGCAAGAGATGTTGAGTCGAAGGGGTTGGTTGGAGGAGGCTGGCGGTTTGCTTTCAGGGGCAGGAGCTGGTTCTGCAACTTCCGGGCAGTTTGAATCTGGGAAGTTTGAGTCTGGACAATTTGGATCTGGGCAGTTTGGTTCTGAGCAGTTTGGTTCTGGGCAGTTTGCTGCCCGTTTTGGGCTGCCCAAGGGGAAGCACGCAGAGGAGGAGGAGGAGGGTCTGCCTTATGAGTTTGCAGTCGGGTGCAGTGATGGTTGCATGCGATTCTGGAAGGAGACGGGAATTGAGGCTGCAGTAAGTTGTGAAGCAAACGATGCAGCAGCAGCACCAGCAGCAGTAGTAGCAGCAGCAGGAGCTGCAACAGGAGCAACAGGAGCAGCGGGAGCAGCAGGAGCAGCAGGAGCAGCGGGAGCAGCGGGAGCAGCAGGAGCAGCAGGAGCAGCGGGAGCAGACGCAGCAGCAGCAGTGGAAGAGAGCAGCAGCTCTGGAGCTTGGGAATGTGTTGGCTGCGTTAGAGTGTCCTCTGGTCCCGTTATAAGCACCAGCGCATGTCCGAGTGGAACCTTGTTCGCTTCAGTGGCAGGAAGAGGAGCAGACGCAACGGCAAACGAACCAGCAACCGAAGCAGTATCTGATACAGCGAACACCGAAACAGAGAGGGGGTTCCTGGGACAGCAAATCCCAGGAACAACTGTGTCGCTTTGGGAAATGCTTCCTGCTGCTATTCACGGCTGGTCATCCTTTCGACTGGAAGGAGAAATTCAAGTCTCCCTAACCCCACTAACCGCTTCAACAGCCGGGGCTGCTTCTGCCGAACCTGGCGCTCTGGAATGGTTGGGCAGACCCGAAGCAGTGCTCATGGCTTGGCACGATCCTGGCAATGGCCATTCTCTCCTTGCAGTCGCCGCCGCAGCTAGGGTTTGTGTCTTTACACGTGCCCGCACCCCTGCTCCTCTTCCCCTTGATCCCAATTCCACCGACCCCCTAAGCTCCCCTAGTGCCTCTGCTGGTGGATTGGCTGGTACCGGGGTTGGCACTGGCAGCGGCACTGCTGGTTCTGGTCCCGGTCAGGATCGGGGAAGCGTGTACCAGGAATGGAATCGGTCTGGGGGAAGGATCCAGGAAGCTTCTACAGGGAGGCGTGATTCAGTGGAGGCGGTAAGGGCAGGGGGGTGGAAAGCCCCAGGGTGGGCGGGGTGGGTGGAGGTGGGGCGGGTGGAGCTGGGGGAGGTGGGATTCGTGCGGTGCTTGTCGTGGGCCCCACAAGGGGTGCTGCTGGTGGGGACGGGGCAGCAGCTGCTGGTGATCAGCCCTGTGATGCGAGCTGAGGCAGCTGTAGAAGCAGTCGGGGCAGCAGGGGAAGGTGCAGGGTCAGCAGGAGCTGGTGCAGCGGATGTGACACCAGCAGCAGCAGGAGGGGTAGGAGGAGCAGGAGCAGGTGGAGGAGTCAGGGCAGGGTTTACAGCAGGCAAGGCTGGGCTTGGGCTTGCCTATTCCCGAGAGCCATCCGCAGCAGACCTGTCCCTCTCCGTCTCCCCGTGGATCTCCCCTGCCACTTCCCAGCTCAGCCTCACCTCCATGTCGCACATCAGCCTGACAGACCTTGCAGTCGTGGCTTCCCGAAGCGGCAGGTCCGGGGCTGGCGCGCAGGCTCGGCCCGTGGCTCGGGTGTCCAGCCGCCTGTCTCTGCCACTGTCAGCTTCAGACCCAGCTCTAGCAGCCGCTCAGAGTGTTCTGGCTGGGGCAGGCACAGCAGGGACAGGTGCAGGAGCAGGAATAGGGTCAGGAGCAGGAGGGGCAGGAGGGGGAGGAGGGGGAGGAAGGGCAGGGGTGCTGGGAGGGGGACGAGTGTTGCCATACACTCCGTCTGCCCCCAACTTTGGCCTTCTGGGCAGCCCTGCGAGGCGTGACGCTAGCAGCAGTGGGGGACAGTTCACCAGTGGAACAGGAGAGGCAGGAGGAGGTGAGGTGATCGCAGAAGCAGGGTCGGAAAGAGAGGATGTGAAAGTATCCGCGCTGGTTCGTGCGCTGGACGGCAGCGGGCGGCTGTTGCTGTCTGATGCGGTGGCAGCAGTGGCATCAGTGGTACCAGATTACCACCCCACGGTCATCTGGACTCTACTCAACCAGGGATTGCTGCCTTCTGCACGTGCATGCATCCGCCACCTCTCGCGCTCCCTCGCTGCAGCCCAAGCCAAGGCTCACAGTGCTCACAGCCAGCACCAGCCGGTTAAGGGTTTTATCTCTCAGACCTGCCATGGCTCCTCGTCTTCCTCCTCCTCTTCCTCCACTGGTTGTTGCATCCCTCCATGTGTCCCCTATTCACAGCTGTGCCTCCCTGAAGCCTCCTCCTCTGCCTCAGGTGCACCTGCCGCGAAGGCTGCTGCTGCTGCCTCGTCCGGACGTCTGTCGGGGGGATTCGGAGGGGATTTTGGGGGATTTGGAGGGTCTGGAGGGGGTTTTGCTGGGTTTAGCAGCACAGGAGAAAGTAGTATGGGAAGCAGGTCTGGTGGGGGTGGGGGGGGGCGCTGGTCGGGGGACTAGTGCAAGGGCGAGTGGTGGTGGTGGTGGTGGTGGTGGTGGTGGTGGTGGTGGTGGTGGTGGTGGGTCCAAGCAAGCGTATAATCCTTTTAGTCTCGTGAACGTGAGAAGTGCTTTGGATGACAGTGATGGGGAGGAGGAGGGGGAAGAGGTGGACGTGGGAGGGAAGAGAGGGTCAGCTGGAGCAGGAGAGAGCAGCAAGGGTGCTGATAGTGGTGGTGGAGGAGGAGGAGGAGGGTTGGGAGTGAAGGGTAGTGGCGTTGTTCCACCTGCAGTGCTGCGGTGGCAGCAGTTGCAGCAGCAGGTGCTGGTGGGGGGGCAAGCTCCTTTCACAGAGGCCGAAGCAACAGCCATCTTCCAGGTGCTATCTGAGGCAGGCGGGACCTGCAGCACAGGTACCTCCTCTGGTGGTGGTAGTGGTACACGGATGGCTGGTGTGTGGTACACCTCTGGGTTGACAGCAGCGGAGGCGGACATGGTGGTGGTGTTGTTAGACGTGCTCGCAGCCATGGATGGGGTGGGCGTGAAGGAGGAGGAGGAGGAGGAGGAGTTGCAGCAGCCTGAGGGTGGTTCTTCATCGTCAGCAGTAACAGCAGCAGCGTCAGTGGCGCGAGCAGTCAAGGCTCTAGATGAACCGGGGAAAAGGTAGTCTCTTGTCCTCACCTCCCTCCCTCTGTCCCTCCGTCCCTCCCTCCCTCCCTCCGTCCGTCCGTCTGCCATCCCTCCCTTCCTCCCTCCCTCCCTCCCTTCCTCCTTCCCTCCTCCGTTCCCCAGTTCGACTGATCTTACTCTTTCTCCCCTCACATTCTTCCTCCACAGCCTGACAGCCTGACACGTTCTCCTGGCGGACAGCACACTGCACCTCTCACATGCAGTCTAGTCTCGAAAGCCTCAGAAGCCTCTCGCCTCTCAGCCGAGCTTGTCTTCTCCCCTCTCTCTCTACCTCCCTGCTGCAGGTTCTGGCTCGCGCTCCACCCCTCCCGTGCAGCAAAATGACACTAACAACTGCTGACAGAGTTCTTCTCCCCTTCCCGCCCCTCCCCCCTCTTCACTCCCTCCCTCCGTGCTGCAGGTTCTGGCTCGCACTCCACCTCTCCCGTGCAGCAAAGAAGCACCAGCAGCGCCGCGCTGCTGCCGCAGCCGCAGCCGCAGCCGCAGCCGCAGCTGCAGCAGCTGAAAAGGCCGCCTCAGCAGCAACCACCAGAGCAGGAGCAGCAGCTTCTGCCTTCGGCTCTTTCTCTGCCCGTAGGCTCATCATCATCAGCAGGCCCGGGGCAGGTTCATCTGGGGCAGGTGGGCTTGGACAGCAGCAGCAACAGCAGGGGCAGGGGCAGGTGCAGGGGCAGCAGGGGCAGGGGCAGCAGCAGGGGCAGGGGGAGGGGCAGGAGGGGAAGCTGGAGGTGGAGTCGCGTGCAGTGGCGTGGGCGGTGCACACGGAGTCAGTGGGTGATGTGGTGAATGCATGCCTGCATGATGCTGACAAACCCACGTGGGCGGGTCTCAGGGCCCTGGGAGTCGGGTACTGGCTCTGCAACACCACGCAGCTCAGACAGCTGGTGGGTGTATGGCCATCTATAGTCTATCTTGTGGTGGAGTGTGCTGGAGTGTGCTGGAGTGTGGTGGATTGTGGTGGAGTGTGGTGGAGTGTGGTGGAGTGTGGCGCAGTGTGCTGGAGTGTATTGGAGTGTGGTGGAGTGTGGCGGAGTGTGCTGGAGTGTATTGGAGTGTGGTGGAGTGTAGTGGAGTGTGGCGGTTTCTACGCTTTTGCCACCCGTTCCATCTCGTTCCATCTCTTTCCCTATCTTACCGTACCACCCTCCCTCCCCTCAGATGGAGCGGGTAGCGCGGGCGCAGTACCAGCAGAGGCGGGATCCCAAGGACTGCGCGCTGCTCTACATGGTTCTGGACCGCCGCTCCGTGCTGCACGGGCTGCTCAAGCTCAGCCGCGACGACCGCGACAAGAAACTGGTGGACTTCCTGGGGAGGGACTTCACGGTACGTGAAACATGGGCCTTAGGAGGGTTTCTTGAGGGGCTTGCGGGGGGGACAGGGTCAGGGTCAGGGCCTGGGTCAGGGTCGAGTTCAGGGTCGGGGTCAGGGTCGGGGTCAGGGTCGGGGTCAGGGCCTGGGTCAGGGTCGGGTTCAGGGTCGGGGTCAGGGTCGGGGTCAGGGTCGGGGTCAGGGCCTGGGTCAGGGTCGGGTTCAGGGTCGGGGTCAGGGTCGGGGTCAGGGTCGGGGTCAGGGCCTGGGTCAGGGTCGGGTTCAGGGTCGGGGTCAGGGTCGGGGTCAGGGCCTGGGTCAGGGTCGGGTTCAGGGTCGGGGTCAGGGCCTGGGTCAGGGTCGGGTTCAGGGTCGGGGTCAGGGTCGGGATCAGGGTCGGGGTCAGGGTCGGGGTCAGCGTCCTTCTGTGCTTCAAACCCCATCCCCATGTCCTCCTGGCCCACACCTGCCCATTCCCTCCAATTGCTTTCCCCCGCCATCCCTCCTGTTCACACTCACGGGCGGAGCGGCACAGAGCAGCAGCTCTGAAGAACGCGTATGTGCTCCTTTCTCAACACCACTGAAGTCGCAGCACCGCTTTGACCTCGCACCCACCTTCTTCCTCCTGGGCGACGACATTCCCTCAAGGAATCCCCAGCCCTTGTACTGTGACAACAGGGCTGTTCCGACCCAACCACTGCTTTACCCCAGATACCCCACTTCCCCTTCTGCCCCACCCCTACCCCCTCCTTCCAACTGCTTCTCCTGCTTCCATTCCCACCCACTATTCATCCTCACAGGAGGAGCGGCATAGAGCAGCAGCTCTGAAGAACGCGTATGTGCTCCTTTCGCAGCACCGCTTTGACCTCGCAGCCACCTTCGTCCTCCTCGGAGACGACATCCCCTCCTCTGCCTCCGTGTGCGCCCGCAACCTCAACAAGCTGACCGATGTTCCCTCCCGCCCTCCCTCCCTCCCTTTCACTCCCACCTTCCCCTCTTCCATTCTCCACTCCCTACCCTAACAGGTGGAGCGGCACAGAGCAGCAGCTCTGAAGAATGCATACGTGTTGCTGTCGCAGCACCGCTTTGACCTCGCAGCCACCTTCTTCCTCCTGGGCGACGACATTCCCTCAAGGAATCCCCAGCTGGCCCTTGTACCAGCCCTTGTACTGTGACAACAGGGCTGTTCGGACCCAACCACTGCTATGAAGATTGGTTTTGAGACGTCTTAAAACCAATCTTCATACACGTAGCCACCTTCTTCCTCCTGGGCGACGACATTCCCTCAAGGAAACCCCAGCCCTTGTACTGTGACAACAGGGCTGTTCCGACCCAACCACTGCTTTACCCCGGATACCCCACTTCCCCTTCTGCCCCACCCCTACCCCCTCCTTCCAACTGCGTCTCCTGCTTCCATTCCCACCCACCATTCATCCTCACAGGAGGAGCGGCACAGAGCAGCAGCTCTGAAGAATGCGTATGTGCTCCTTTCACACCACCGCTTTGACCTCGCAGCCACCTTTTTCCTCCTGGGAGACGACATCCCCTCCTCTGCCTCCGTGTGCGCCCGCAACCTCAACAAGCTGACCAATGTTCCCTCCCGCCCTCCCTCCCTCCCTCCCTTTCACTCCCACCGTCCCCTCTTCCATTCTCCACTCCCTACCCCAACAGGAGGAACGGCACAGAGCAGCAGCACTGAGGAACGCGTATGTGCTGCTGTCGCAGCACCGCTTTGACCTGCCAGGCACCATTGTGCTGTCTCCCCCCTCCACTCCCTCTTCCATCCCCCCCTGTCACAGGAGGAGCGGCACAGAGCAGCAGCTCTGAAGAATGCATACGTGTTGCTGTCGCAGCACCGCTTCGACCTCGCAGCCACCTTTTTCCTCCTGGGAGACGACATCCCCTCCGCCGCCTCTGTGTGCGCCCGCAACCTCAACGACCCCCAGCTCGCGCTCGTGCTGTGCCGGCTGCGGGAGGACAAGGCGGGGGCGGCAGCATATTCAAAGGATGTGATTCAGCGGCTCTTGTTGCCAGAGGCTGTTTCGAAAGGGGACGCCTGGATGGTCTGCACTCTCAAGGTGAGAAAGTGACATTCCCTCTGCTGCCTCCGTCCGTCTGTGCGCGCAACCTCGGGGATCCGCAGCTGGCGCTCGTGCTGTGCCGGCCGAGGGAGGACAAGGCGGGGGCTGGAGCGTACTCGAGGGACGTGATTCAGCGCCTGCTGCTGCCGGATGCTGTTTCCAAAGGGGATGCCTGGATGGTTTGCACGCTTAAAGTGAGGCGTTTTGGTTTTGGAATTGAAGTTCTTCCTCACTGCCAGTTCCTGCCTGCCCCGCTCGCATCATATCACCCTGCCACACATCTCCAATCACATCCTGCACAAGTGAAGCCATGCCGTGCCTGCCCTGCCGCTCCATCCATCCCTGTCTACTCCCCTTCACAGTGGCTTATGGGACAAAAGCTCGAAGCCCTCCAAGGCCTTGTCCTGTCCTCCCACTACAACACCAACACTCCCTCCCTCACTCGCTCCTCCTCCTCCTCCTCCACCACCGCCACTGCCAGCTCAGCACTCACCCCGTCGCACCCCGCCATGTCAGCAGCCGAGCCAGCTGGCGCTGAGGTGGCGGCGTTCTGCGCCACAGTGGCAAAGAAGCCAGGTCTGGGGGAGGAGACGGAGGCAGTGCAGAGACTGGCAGCAGTGGCAGCAATTGAGGCTGTAAGTGGGAGCGACCACATGGGACTTGTGCTGCAATCTGTGCTCGAAATCACCAAGCAGAGGGGTTTGGGTCTGGTTCAGAGCGGTGCTGGTCAGGCGCAGAGTGGTGCTGGCGGTTTCAGTGGTGGGGCTCTGGATTTCGAAGGCATGAACGTAGGCTCAGGCAGCAATGGTGCTGTAGGTTCAGGTGGACCTGGTTTAAGTGTTCCCATGGGGGCAATGGTCGGGAAGACAGTAGGTTCGGTACCAGCGGTAGTGGGGGAGGGATGGGTGATGCCTGCAGTGGTGGCAGCAGTGCAATCAGCCAAGCTGCGGCAGCTGCTGAAGCAGAGAGCTGCTGCCTGCCTTGCTGCTGCTAGCGTGGTAGACGGAGATGTTAAGAGCGGTGGGAGAGACGGGAGAGTGGGAGGAGGAAGAGGAGGAGGAGGAGGGAGGGGAGGAGGGAGCAGGGGGGTGTGTGAGGTGGTGGAGGAGGTGGAGGCATGGGCTAAGCACTGTGCGAGCGATCACACTGCTGCCCTCGCTGCTGTGAGTCTCCTTCCCCTTCTCACTGCCCCATCTGATACTTGGCTTCAGTAACTCCCTTGCATGACACCACTCCTTCCTGTGCTGTCCATTGGACTGCTCTTGACCTCCCTATTCGTTCTGTACTAAATCCATATGTGGCGTCCTCACTGCCACCGCCTCTATTTCCTCATTCCCTCTTCCCGTTCCCAGTCACATCCCCTTCAGTTCCAGTTTCAACCGTTCCACTCCAATCTCCCCCCACCACCCACCCCCCACCTCCCCCACCTCCCTTCTCTTTTCCCTCCAGATATCCTCCCAGGCCATAACGGCCTCTCAGCCATTCACCTTATGCCACGTCACGGCCCACATGGCACAATGGGCCATCCCCAGGCCGCTCCCGCGCCCAGATGCAATCTCCACCGTCCATCCGCCCCACCTTATTGAAGATCTACGCGCACAGCTGTGCATGGTAATCCTTAGGCGGGTGGCCGTTTGTCTCCCCCCCGCACTGTCACGGGTGGTCATGGGGAGAGGGGCGGTGGGCGGAGGGAGGTGGAGGGTGAAGCGAGTAGGTTCTGGGCCTGGTGAAACGAAATTCCCACCACAGCAGCAGCCGCAGCAGCAGCAGCAGCAGCAGCAGCAGCAGCAGCAGCAGCAGCAGCAGCAGCAGCGGCAGCAGGAGAAAAAGCAGCGTTTGCTAAATCATCATCTGGACGAGGGTCTGGGCGTGGATGCGTTGCGATTGGTCCACGTGGCAGGGGAGATCCTGCAGATGTGGCGGGAAGGAGCAGCAGCAATGCGAGCTGCCGCTGCTGCCTCTGCTTCTGCCGCCGCCCATGCTGCTTCTGCCTCCACCTCTGCCTCTGCCCCTGCTGCTGCAGCAACAGCTGCTGCTGCTGCCAATGCAAGAAACCACCCATCAAGCCAATCATTCACACCCCCCACATCCCCCATCCCGCCCCACATGGCTCTAGACAATTCAGAGACCTTGCTAGAGCAGAAGATAGAGGCGGAGGGGCGAGTAGTGGCTGCTCTGGCGCTCATCTGCTTTGTAACTGCTGCCTGGATGTCTCACCGCCCTCTCACCCTTGCTCGACTGCTCGAGCCAGTGGTGAGGGAGCGAGGCGGGGAGAGAGGATGGAGAGGGGTCGGGGAAGGAGGGTTTGGTGAGAAAATGGGGGGAGATGGGGAAGGGGAGAGAGTCGTGCGGAGTGTGGGGGGGAGATTAGGGGTTGGGGGGGTTGGTGGAGCGCCTGTGTTGTCTGGGGAGGGGGAGGATTGCCTGGAGTGGTTTCTGGGGTTGGAGAGACGGTTGAATGGGGGAGGTGGGGTGGCTGGCGAAGGAGGGGAGCGAGAGCATGGAGGGGGGCTGGTGCATACAGGAGGGGGTGTTAATGGTGCAGGGGGGGAGAGAAAGGGAGATAAGGAGAAGGAGGTGGGGCAGGGCACAGCAGAACTTGGGGGGAAGGATGAGGAGGGCAGATTCGTGAGACCTGGACGGGCGGTTGTAGAGGGAAAAGTGGTGGTCCTATCAGAGGACGACATGTGGCGCGTTGTGGGCACGTCAGTGTGGTCGCTAGTGGAGTGGTATGTGAGGAAGCAGGCTGTGCCTCCGTCGCTTACTAGCCGGGCGTTCCAGTCGTTTGGGTGGATGTCACCTGTCCAGTCATACCTGCAGAACCACCACCACCAGCACCCACAGCAGCTGCAGCCTCAGCACCCGCAGCACTTGCAGCAGCAGCAGCAGCAGCAGCAGCAGCAGCAGGGTCGTTTGTTTGGGCAGCCCAGCCATTCTCAGCAGCAGCAGGTGGGGCAGCAGGGGCAGGGGGGGCGCAGTCCCATGCAAGCCCCCCCGGCTCACCCTCACCATCTCTCCCACCTCCTTCCACAGCATCACAACCACAACCAGCAGCAGCAGCAGCAGCACTGGCAGCCGCCGCACCACTTTGTTCCCTACAGCCCACCCCAAAGCGGCACCACCACCCCCACCCTCTCCACCCCTCCTCTCTCCCCCCACCTCCACCCCCACGCCCTTCTCTCCCCTGACCAGCACCAACACCAGCTGCTGCAGCAGCAGCAATACCACCATCAGCACCATCAGCAGCAGCAGCCCCCACCTGCCCCATCCTCTTTCTTCTCTGCTTTCTCCCGGCCTTGGACCTCCCCCGCTTCCCCTGCCCCCTCCTCCTCCTCCTCCTCCCTCCTCTCCCCCGCGCCCTCCCCTGCTCCCTCCCCCGCACCCTCCCACCTGAGGCCAACAGGGGCAGCAGGAGGGGGAATGGCGGGAGCAGCATCAGCAGCTGCTGCAGCGGCAGTGGCAGCAGCAGCCCAAGCAGCAGACAGGGCAGCGGGAGGGGGAAAGCAAAGGGCAGGAGCAGGCGCAGGGGCAGGTGGAGGGAGAGCTGGAAGCAAAGAGACAGCAGCGGATCCAGCACACTTGTTTCACCAGGCGCTCCTACCAGACGCATGTGCTGCTGCAGCAGCCTCTGACGCGCTGGTCCTCGCGTCTGCACGCGTGGCGTCTGCCCTCAGGCGCCAGCTGGCGGCACACGTCAGCACCCGCATGCACATGCGTGGAGGGGGTGTAGGATCAGGAGCGCGGGGTGTGGGCACCAGAAGCTTGCAGCGTGGTGCTGCTGCTGGTGGCGGTGCTGGCAATGGTGGTGGTTTGAAGGAGAAGGAGGAGGCTGTTTCTGCCTATGCTCACCTGGCGTCCGTAGCAGCAGCGGATGGGCTGCTCCAGTGGCTGGCAGATGAACACTCGCTGCATCACCGCCACCACCAGCATAACCAGCAGCACGGGCAGCAGCAGCAGCACCAGCACACTCACCAGCAGCACATGCAGCAGCACAATCAGCAGCAGATGCACAGCAGTGGTGGCCTGGGCCACATGTCACGGCACCATGGCAACATACCCACACACCCAGACGCACATGGACATGGCGGCGCTGTTGCTGCTGCTGCCACGACCCATGCAGCTTCCACGCACTCGCACCTGCCATCCGCCCATCCCGGCACAGCTAGCGCTGCAGCACCAGGAGCAGCAGGGATTGCACCAGGCGCCACTGCAGGAGGACTTGCAGGAGGAACGGCAGGAGGAGCGTCAGGGGGAACAGCAGGAGGGACGGATTTCAGCAGTGTAGCTCATCATACCCGCGTTGAGACGTGCCCGTTGCTCCCTAACGTACCCCATACAGTGCTCGAGTTCCCTGAATCCGGCCCTGTTTTAGTCCTTGCTGCTGCAACAGACGTTGCTTATATCGAAGCTGCTAGTAACGGGGCTGAAGCGCCTGGAGGTGCTGCTGCTGCTGCTGCTGGTAAGGCTGGTGGGAGGCTGGAGGGAGGTAGACCTGGGGTAGGTGGTACTAGGGGACCTTCCGTTTTGGGGAAAAGTGCATTGGGATCAACAGGGGTGGGAGGGGCGAGGGCAGGAGGAGGGGCGAAGGATGAAGGGAAGGATGGTAGGGGAGGGGTGGGAGGAAGGGGAGGGAAGGTTCTGGAGGAGGGAGGGACATGTGATTTGGGTGAGTGGGGCCGGGCGTGTGGCAAGCTTTGGCAGCTTGTGGTCGCTAAGGACAAGCTGCGCAGCGTTCTGGGCGTCGATGGATTCGATTTTGCTGAGCTGGCAGCATGGAGGGAGAGGAGGGAGGCTGACGTTGCAGCAGCTGAAAGGGCAGCTCGAAAATCCGCCGCCGCAGCAGCAGCTGCAGCAGCAGCCGCGGCAGGAGGAGGAAAAGGAGGCGACGGATGGGGAGGGGGAGGTGGAGGAGGAGAAACAGGAGGAGGCTGGGGCGGAGGAGGAGGTGGGCAGGGGAAGGTGACAGCTGGGGGAGGCGCAGGGGGGGGATGGGGGGAAGCAGGGGGGAAAGGGAGGGGGGGGAGGGGGGGCACTGGGGGAGGAATGGAGCGAGTGCAGACAGAGGCGCAGTTAAGTCTTGGGGTAGGGGGGTTGGGGTCAAGAGCAGTGTCAACACCGAGCCTGATTGGTCTGATTGAGAGGGAGAAGGAGGTGGATGGAGGAGGAGGGAAGTGGGGAAGCGCAGGGGGGAGCATGGGGGATGTGAGGGAACAGGCGAGGAAGGCGGGAGCGAGTGAGGGCGAGCAGGGGGGGAGGGTGAAAGGAGGGGCAGGAGAAGAACCAGATGATAACAAGTCGGGTGAGGGGGGAGAGAGGGGAGAGGAGGAAGAAGAGGCAGGTGTGAGATGGGTGAAAACAGCCCTCGGGGAGCCTCTAGAGGTGCTGAAAACGGGGGGAGAGTTACTGGAGGGCGTGTGTGTGAATGCACTGAATCCGAGGCAGGCAGTGGTGGCCACCAATCGCAAGGGACTTCTCTTCTTTGACATTCACAGTGCCTCAGCTTCCCACTCCTCTTCCGAGCACCTCAGTGCGTCTGCTGCTTCCTCTGGTTACTCTGGTTACCCTGGTGCTTCTGGTTACGGCAGTCATGCTGCTGCAGCCGGCCCTGGCTCTGCAGTGTTTGACAGTCTCTGGGCGTCTGCCTGCTGGCCTGCTGATAGCTACGCAGGCCGTGTTGCCACCCCCCCTCCTGCCCACTTCGCCCTCCTCACCCATTCCCCTAGCGGCCGCATGAACCTGCCCGGTTCTGCTGGTGCTGCTGGTGGTGGTTGGGGCGGGGGAGCAGGGCAAAGCGGGGAGAGCATGGGAAGCAGTGGGGCCGGGAGCATGGGAGGCGGAGGGGGAGTGGGTCGGCTGGGTGGGTTCGGGAGCAGCAGTTTCAGCAGTGCCAGCATCGGCAACAACCCTGCAAATACCTCCTCGCCCTTCTCCCCAATAGGCTCGGCGGTGGGCAGGGGCGCGGCGGCTCGGGATTCGTCTTATGCGGGCGGCGTGGGGATGGGGATTCCGGGGTATGGGGGGATAGGCGCGTGGGGATTGGGATGGGAGGACTTGGAGGATGCAGAGGAGGGGTATGTGGACCCACCGGCCACAGCAGAGTCGGTGGCGGGGAGGGCGTTGGCTGCTCACCCCCTCAGGCCCTTCTTCCTGGTCGGCTCCACCAACACGCATGTGTACCTCTGGCAGGTCAGTGTGGGCTGCTGCTCTCTGTCAGGTGTGTGTGCCCTGGGGTGGGTGGGAGGACCTGGAGGATGCGGAGGAGGGGTATGTTGATCCGCCTGCTACAGCTGAGTCTGTAGCAGGGAGAGCGTTGGCTGCCCACCCCCTCAGGCTGTTCTTCCTAGTTGGCTCCACCAACACCCACGTGTACCTTTGGCAGGTGCTTGGGCTTCTTCCCTCTGGCAGTTTTGTTGTTGTTGCAGGTAGGTATATGAATATATAGCTGCTGGTGGGTGCCAGGTGGTTGGGTTGCCCTGGCAGGCGCGTAGGGACTGGGGTGGGTGGGAGGACCTGGAGGATGCGGAGGAGGGGTATGTGGATCCGCCTGCTACGGCAGAGTCTGTAGCGGGGAGAGCGCTGGCGGCTCACCCCATCAGGCCATTCTTCCTGGCTGGCTCCACCAACACCCACGTGTACCTCTGGCAGGTGGGCTGCTCTGGCAGGTGGGTGGGGTGCTGCCCTGTGTCAGGTGAGTGTGCTGTTGCCGTGGGTGGAGTAGACCCATGGTGGACCACCATACCCCCCAGTGTGGTCTCCCACCTCCCTCCACCATACCCCCCAGTGTGGTCTCCCACCTCCCTCCACCATACCCCCCACCCCCTCAGTTCGGCGCACCAGCAGCCACCGCGACGTATGGAGTGCTCCCCGCGGCCAACACGCCAGTGCCGCTGGTCATCCCCTCTGTCACCGCCCTCTCCCTGCCCCGCTACGGGGAGCGCTTCGCCACCGCTGCTGCTCCCCTCTCTCCCCTTCCCCTCACCCACTCCGCAACCACCCTGCTGCTCTGATTCTCCTCACTCTTTGCTGGGTTCTCCCTCCTGCCCTCTTTCTCCCCACCATACATCATCCCCACCCCCACAGTTCGGTGCGCCAGCAGCCACGGCAACGTATGGGGTGCTGCCAGCTGCCAACACGCCAGTGCCGCTGGTCATCCCCTCTGTCACTGCCCTCTCCCTGCACCGCTACGGGGAGCGCTTCGCCACCGCTGCTGCGGACGGCACAGTGTCGATGTGGCAGCTGGAGGTGGGGGGGAGGAGCAACGTGAAGCCCACTGAGACCAAACACTGCTTTGGGCGGAGCGCCAGGTGAGAGGGGGAACGGTGAGGCGATGGGGAATGGATTGTCTCGTGCTATGGGTCCGCTGCTGCGGACGGCATTTTGAGGCGCCTCAAAAGTTGTCTCGTGCTATGGAACCACTGCTGCGGACGGCACTGTGTCGATGTGTCAGCTGGAGGTGGGCGGGCGCAGCAACGTGTGAAGCCTGCAGAGACCAAGCACTGCTTTGGACGGAGCGCAAGGTGAGAGGGGAAAGGGGGAATGGTATTGTGGCAGGTGAAATTATGAAATACGCTCCACAACTCTTCCCCAGACTCGCTTTGCATATCCCACCTTTCGTCTCTCCACCTGACCACTGCATGCAGTGACGTGGCATTTCTTGGCCCAGGAGCAGCGTGCTGGTATTCAAAAACTCCCTATTCTGCATGCGGGCCCAGCATGCACGCATGCAGCGTGCTGTCATTCCATGCATGCTGCTGCTCACCCCGCATGTGATGAGTGGATTTTTGAGTTTTTGAGAATTCTCAAAAACTCCCTATTCTGTGCATACTGCTCACCCCGGATGTGATGAGTCGAGTATTGAGTCGACTAAAAAATCGACGCATCATGTCGCGTGATTAACACTTAGCTGGCAACTAAGTGTGAATTACACAGCAGCCAAGGTGAGGTGTACTATAGTTTACTGCTTTTTGCATTTTACTTTGTTTGCTCTTTTGGAATGTTACTGTACTATACAGAGTCGAGCTGCTGAGGATTTCGAGGTGGTTGGGGGGGAGGTTGGTGGCGAATTCGATTCCAGCCAGCCTGGGAATTCAATTCGCCATTCACCAGGCTGGAAGGCGGTGCATGCCTAGTGGGCCGAGTGGGACCCAGCTAGCACCTTGAAGCCTACGCGATCAGCTCGGCTGACTCGCGCTTAGGAGTAGAGGTAGCTTGCGGGACAAGGCACCTAGGCAGGAGGGGATGTAGACTGGGGTAGCGCTCAGACTCGTTGCTTTTTGCTTGTATGTTTCTCGTTTACTGCAATTGTGATTTCCTAAACCACGGGGAACTAGCAGTAGAGAGGAGCTGAAGCAAATCGGCGGAGCCCTTGCGAGGGAGTTAAGTCTTGTTTCATACAAGCAAAAAGGGTAGTCAGGATTACGATTGTTGAGAGAAGAGGTGGCAGGATCTACTGCCTGGAGTTGCCCACGGTGATGCACCGTGAGGAATGAGTAATTTCGACCGTGAGCTTCACACTCATCAACTGCGCTCTGGACACCGATTCCCGGCGAGGATGATGGAGGGACGTGATCCGCCGGTCAGGATGCCTGGATTTCGGGCGGGCGAAGGAGGGACGATCTCGCGCGGTAACCAAGGCGGGGATCGGGAGGAAGAACGAGGTGTACACGGAGAACAACAGTCGAGCTCTGCATGCGACTCGCCCGCGGAGAGGAGTGGAGGGCGACCTGTGGGGAGTGGATCTCGCCGAGGAAATCCAGATCTGGGAGGAGACGATCAACATGAAGATCGACGAAGTCAGAAGGGAGGGGAAGATCATCGAGAAGAACGGCGGAGTCAGAGAGGAGAAGAAGATCAACGTGAAGAAAGGCATAGTCTGAGGGGAGGAGACGATCAATCGGTGGAACGACGAAGTCAGCGAGGCAAGGAAGCATATCACGGATTCTCTGCTGGAGGATACGAAGCCATGGAGGACGGGAGAGCAGGGCGACCTGCAGGGAGTGGAGAAGGAGGGAACACAAGCTGGGGGACAGGCAGGTCGATGAGTACTACACCACCCAAAATTGAGGTACCAGACCGCTTCTCGGGGGCACCCGGAGAGGAGCCCACGCTGAAAAACTACCTGATGATGATTGAAGACATTCGCTACTGCTGGGATAGGGAGCGACTGGATCCTATTGAATTTTTCAGAGGCTTGGGGAGGACTCTCAAAGGAGAGGCGTTGACTCATTACCGCGTGGAGAGGCAGGGGCTGCTGATGCGGAGCAACAGAGGAGATATCTTACCGGCAGATATTACGGACCGTTTCTTGGAAAGCCTGCAGGAGCAGTTCCCGGGGCATTCGGCTGACCGGATGGCGGAGTTTCAAGACTTCAGAAGAGCGCCGGCAGAGTCGATGTTGGCCTACTATAACCGTTTACTGGAGCTGGCAGAGGATATGGGCTGCGTGGAGGAGCGCATCCTAGTGACCAAGTTCGTCAACGGACTGGATGGGGACTTGATACGAGACATGAGAAGCCGACTATACTCCTTGGGGGTACGGGCGAAGCTGCGACAGGTGTACCAGGTGGCGAAAGAAGTGGAGGATGGAAAGAGGTTTTTCGAAGGAATGAGGGGGTCAAGCTCCAGTCGGCCGAGCGAACGTCGGAGGCCTGCTTGGGCAGCGGTGGAAGGGAGACAGGGGGAAGAGGAACGAAGAGAGAGGCCGTCTGAAGATAGACGCAGGTGTTACAAGTGCGGCGAAAAGGGGCACGTGCGGAAGGACTGCGCCATAGACATAGTGTGCGACACATGCAAGATGAAAGGACATTTCAGACGTGACTGCCCCAAGGCACCTATCTGCACCGGGTGTGGGAAAAGGGGGCATACTGAAGACAGGTGCTACAGCAAGGGAGAGAGAATGCGAGGAAAATCGGCAAGGGAGTTACAGTTAGAGAGAGAGGTGGCGAAGCTGAAGGGACAGTTGGAGAAGACTGAGATTAGTGAGGACCCTGAGAAGGCATTGCTGGCTTGGGAGGACGATGAAGAGGAGGAGTATGAGAGAGAGGAGGCAGAGTACGGGGCCATGGCCATACCACCTAGAGACCGAGAGGAGTTGGGGCTGCGCAGCGGCGGGAAGGATGGCAGGACAGAGCAGAAGCAGCCTGAAAGGAGAACCCCTCGGCAACAAGAAGAAAGCCATAAGCCGAGGACGGCTCGACGGCATCCTGAGGAGAGACTCGTCTGCCAACCCACGGCCCTGGTGGTAGAACCTAAGGCAGTGGCTGTCAGGGGCATATTAGTGGAGAACGCCGTGGTGGATACAGGCGCACAGAGTGTCCTGCTGGGAAGGAAGCTGACAGAACAGTTACGGGAGAAAGGGGACTTGGAAATAGTAAACAGAGGCATACTGATCATGACAGCCGAGGGAGGGGCACCAAAGTGGATGCCCTGTACTAAGGACCCCATCGAGATTACTCTGCAGCCGGGAGAGAAGGGAGAAACGACGATAAGAGTGCAATGTGGGCTGACGGAATCGGAGGATTATGATGTTCTGCTGGGGATGGAGCTGCTATTCAAGATAGGTACAACAATTTGTACCTGGCAGGAACAGGTGCTCTACCGCTCGGATTTCTGGATTGAGGGAAAGGAGTTGAGTGAGCTGCCAGTGCGGTTTGTCAAGACAGAACCGAAGAAGGCTTGGAGGGCGGAGGGCATGAGAAGAGAGAGCGTAAGGAGGGGGAGTACCAAAGAGGGCAAGGTCGGAGCTAACCTGAACCAGTATAGCGTTACCTTAGTGGAGCTGTTTGGAGGGCTGGGGGCAGGCTTAGTGGCGGCACTGGAAGCAGGGCTGAAGGTGAAAAGATGGGTGTATGTGGAAATAGACCCGGAGGTGAGGAGGATGGCTTGGAAGCATGCACAGATACTGCAGCAGCGGTACCCAGCTCAACTGGCGAAGGAAGTGATACGGGAGGCCATGCAGAATGAGAAGTGGGATGTGGGACAGCTTACCAAGGAAGACGTGAACCGCTGGGGAAAGGTGGACCTGTTGGTAGCAGGGTGGGAGTGCCAGGGTACTTCCCGAGCGGGGAAGGGAAGAGGAATGCAGGATGACCGCACGGCGATGGTGACAACACTGCTCACGATTATGAGGTGGGCGAGAGAATCTGGCGGGGAATATGCGTACATCCTAGAACATGTGGATATGAGGAGTGATAGCAGGGAGCCGGTCCGAGCCGTACGCGAACTGGTGGAAGCAGAATTGGGAAGGGGAGTGAGTTGTGACGGGGCACAGCTGGGGGCAAGGTGTCATAGAGTGCGGCAGTACTGGCAGAACGTCCTGCCAGAAGGAGAACTGAGGGCGAGATTAGCAAGGGTGGAGAGAGATGAGAGCCGAATCGTGGAAGACATTCTGGAACCAGGGAGAGTGGCCGCCCCAGTGGTAAAGCCAGATCATCCGCGACAGTATCAGTGTAACCGAGTGGGGGAAGCGAGGAGGGCCTGGCCGACACTGGTGGCCTATGCAAAGGCACGGGGATTTGTCGAAGTGGAAGGGACTCCAGGTCCAGGGATGGTGTATGATCACCGTAAGAAAAGATGGGAGGAGCCGACTGCTTTGGAGAGGGAATTAGCCATGGGGTACCTGCCGGGGGCAACTGCAGCAGATGGAGTAGGGGAGGAGGTGCGCAAAGCTGCCTTGGGCCGAGCCATAGACCAGCACTCACTGCGATGGCTAATTAGTGAGATGAGAAAGGGGCCAGCCGAGAAAAAGGGAAAGACGGAAGAGGAGAAGTGCAGGGGCAGCAAGCAGGCTGCTTACGCCGCTGTCAGCAAGCTCACAGACGAGAAGGAGATCAAAACTGCACCACCAGTAGGGACGGAAGCAGAGCCGGGCAAAACCTGGGAGCTGGGGGCAGGTATAGGGGAGCAAGCAGCCGAAGCAATCAGGGAGGTGTTGCAGCAGCATAGGGGCACCTTCGCCTATAACCTGCAGGAATTGGGGAGATACAAGGGGAGAGAGCTGGAGCTGAACCTCACGACTGAGCTACCTACATACCAACGCAGGAGGCGAATGAATGCGGAGGATGCAGCCATCTGCAAGGAGAAATGTGAGGAGTTGCTAGCTGCAGGGATTATTCGCCCGTCAGAATCAAGTTACGCGGCGGCCACGGTGGTGGCTGCTAGGAAGGACATCACGGGAAAGATTCTAGCGAAGCGGATGTGCGGGGATTTTCGGGAGCTGAACAAGATTACAAGCCCAGACAGATACCCTATGCCGACTGCTGAAGACATTTTCGACCGGCTGGAAGGGGCCACCGTCTTTACCACCTTGGACCTGCGGCAGGGCTTCAATCAAATAGGCATTAGAGAAGCAGATAAACGGAAAACAGCATTTCACGGGGTGGACGGTTTGTATGAGTACAACGTTATGCCTTTCGGGCTTCGTAACGCACCAGCAGTGTTCCAGAGAGCCATGGATCAAGTGCTGAAGGGGGTTCCAGCCGCAGCATGCTACATTGATGACGTGTTGATTTACAGCAGCAGCAAAGAACAGCATGTGCAAGATCTGAAGCAGACTCTGGAGGCAATAGCAGCTGCGGGGCTGACGTGTCACCCAGATAAGTGTAAGATAGCGAGGCACACGGTGGCTTACCTGGGGTTTGAAGTGAAGGGCGGTCGGCTGGCCATACAAGAGGCAAAGGTTAAGGTGCTGGAGAACCTGGCAGCGCCAAAGGATAAGACAGGGCTGCGGGCGTTACTCGGCTTCCTGAATTATTACAGGAAGTTTGTGTCAAACTTCAGTCGCCGTGCCTACGTGCTGAACCAGCTGCTGAGGGAAGGGAAGAGCTGGCAATGGGGAGAGGTGGAGGAGGCAGCAAGGCAGGACTTGCTCGAAGCAGTTAGGACAGGGACCTTACTGCAGATACCGAGGGCAGAAGCGCCTTTCATCCTGTACACGGACTGGAGCAGTACGGGAATGGGAGCGGTGCTCTGCCAAGAAATCGAGGGAGAGGAAAGAGTGATAGCCTTTGCCAGCCGAAGCTGCAGCCCATCCGAGGCTAACTACTGCTCATACGAGGGAGAGGGCCTGACGGCAGTGTGGGGAATCACGCATTTCAAGGTATACCTACAGGGCCGGCACTTCACATTAGTGACTGATCATCAGCCACTGCTATGGTTGATGACTAATCAAGAGCTGACGGGAAGAAACGCTCGATGGGCTATCAAGTTGTTGGGATTTGACTTTGAGATCCGGCACCGACCGGGTAAAACACTGCAGCATGCAGATGGGCTGTCAAGGAACCCACCACCGATGCAGCCGGTAGCGCAGCTGGCGGCCTTAGCCCACACCGTGGCCGTAAGCTGGGGGCAGGAGAAGGGAGAGAAGCGGTTAGCAGATATATGGGAGGACGAGGAGACCATGAGCTGGATCAAAGGGGAGCCACTGGAGGAGGAAGGCGTAAGTGAGAGAGCAAGAGCCAGAGGGCAGCATTACAGATGGTTTCAGGAGCAGCTGCAGCTGAGGACCAGCGAAGGATGGAGGGTAGTGCCGCAGCCGCAAGAGAGGAACAGGATCATGGGGAAGGTGCATGCGAAGCTGGGACATTACGGCATCACCAGGACACGGCAGCTGCTGAGCACCATGTACTGGTGGGCAAGCATGGGGAAGGATGTGGCAGGACTGGTAGCCAGCTGCGAGGCTTGTCAAAGGAATAAAGCAAGGCTGGAAAAGGAGAGGGAGGAGCTGCACTCACTACCGATTCGGGGGTTAGGTTACAGGTGGTCGCTGGACCTGGCAGGAGAGTTACCATTATCAAAAGGAGGGAAGCAGTACATCCTGATCATGGTTGAGCACACGAGCAAATGGGTGGAGGCGCGAGCATTACCAAGCAAGAGTAGCGCACTGATAGCGGACGCATTCGAGGAGTTAGTCCTGACCAGGTACGGTGCATGTGGGGAGGTGCTTACCGATCAAGGGACAGAATTTCAAGGGAGCTTTGATGAGCTGCTAGAGGAGATGGGCATTACGCATCGTGTCACCTCAAGGTATCACCCTCAATCGGACGGGCTGACAGAGAGGCTCATACAAACCGTGAAGAAAGGACTTCGGGCCTATGGAGAGACACACAAGAGGAGTTGGGACAGGGATCTCTGGTGGGTGCTTGCGGGATACCGGTTTGCGAAGCAGGCAGCGCGAAGCATCTGTCCCCGTATCATCTACTGTACGGACGGGACCCGGTGCTACCTGTGGATGCACCGAAGCTGCTCTCGGCGACGATTGAAGCGGACGAGCCGAGCCTGTGGGCGGGATTAGCGGAGAAGAGGGCGAGGTATCTGAAAGAGCTGACTCCAGCTGCCTTGGATAATCTACACGTGGCGCAGCTGAGGGATGCAAGGCGGTACCAGCAGCGCAAAGCAGGAGGGATGGGAGGAAAGAGTCACCAAGTGGAAGCGGGGCAGGAGGTGTACCTGCGCAGGGCTAAGCGAGATACGCTGGACTTAGCTGTGGGACCGGAGCGATGGAGGGTGAAAGAGGTAAGGGAGTCGGGGGTGCTAGTGCTGGAGGATGATCGAGGGGAGTACCTGAAGGAGCATATCACCAACGTGGCCAGGGCGGGAAGGGAGAAGCCTCAGGCATTGGATCCCGTGTCTGGAGCAGCTCGGGTGCGTGCTCAGTCACGGGAGGGGGCAGGGAAGCCTGAGATACGAGGAGGGGATCAGAACAGAGTGATTACATACGCCAGGAGGAAGAAGGGATGAGCCGGTCACCTGGATGAGAGGTGGAGGGAGAGGGAGTGAGGAAGTCAGGCAGGGATGCAAGGGAGAGTGAGAAGGAAGGGACAGCAGAGGGGATTCACGACAGCTGTCGCGTGATTAACACTTAGCTGGCAACTAAGTGTGAATTACACAGCAGCCAAGGTGAGGTGTACTATAGTTTACTGCTTTTTGCATTTTACTTTGTTTGCTCTTTTGGAATGTTACTGTACTATACAGAGTCGAGCTGCTGAGGATTTCGAGGTGGTTGGGGGGGAGGTTGGTGGCGAATTCGATTCCAGCCAGCCTGAGATACGAGGAGGGGATCAGAACAGAGTGATTACATACGCCAGGAGGAAGAAGGGATGAGCCGGTCACCTGGATGAGAGGTGGAGGGAGAGGGAGTGAGGAAGTCAGGCAGGGATGCAAGGGAGAGTGAGAAGGAAGGGACAGCAGAGGGGATTCACGACAATCATGCTATCCATGCAGGCCTTCTATCCATGCTGCTCACCCCTTGGCTCCAAAATCCACCCCACCTCACCCCACCCCGTTCCACCCCTCCACACCCCACTTTCCCCTCACAGTGGAGTGGCGTTCATAGGGGCGAGCAGCAGTGTGCTGGCAGCGGTGGGGCAGAGCCCATCTCAGGACAACCGGGTCGTGTGGGACTCCTGAGACGTCTAGAAAATCTCACCCAACTTCATTCCACCTCACCCCACTACACCCTGCATTCCCTGCCCACAGTGGAGTGGCGTTCATAGGGGCGAGCAGCAGTGTGCTGGCAGCGGTGGGGCAGAGCCCATCGCAGGACAACCTGGTCGTGTGGGACTCCCTCGCCCCGCCCAACGCCTCCCGCGTTGCCATCAACTGCCACCAAGGCAAGTCCGCCGTTCAACCGATTGTCACCTAGGCTTCTCCAGAAGTCTGTCATTCTGGTCCAGTTCTCCTGCCACCAAGGCATGGGCTCTTGCATGGGGCAGAGACCCTCGCACATGTAGAGAGGGTATTTTTGAGACGTCTCAAGAATACCCTCTCTACACGTCGAGTTCTCCTGCCACCAAGGCATGGTCTCTTGCATGGGGCAGAGCCCCTCGCAGGACAACCTAGTCGTGTGGGACTCCCTTGCTCCGCCCAACGCCTCTCATGTTGCCACCAACTGCCACCAACTGCCACCAACTGCCACCAAGGCAAGTTCCACAGTTGAGGCTTGATTACCCGTCCATGCACGCTCCTTACTCCGTTTCTCTCAGCGTTGCCCCTTTCTCACCACCATCCGTCAACTTCTCAACATCATATCCCTATCCTCACTCATCCCACTGCAGGTGGCGCCACCAGCATCGCTATCGTTGACAACACCATCCCTGCTGCCGCCGCCACAGGGAGCACCGGGGGAGCAGCAGCACGGGGAGGAACAGGGGGTGGCAACGGAGGAGGAGGAGGAGGAGGACAGCTGTCGGCGTCTCATTCGCTGATCGTGACAGGCGGCAAGGCCGGCGATATCTCAGTGCACGATTTCCGGTTCATTGCGAGTGGCAAGAGCGGCCGCAAGGGGGGCGGAGGCGGGGGCGGGGGGAGCAAAGACGGAAGCAGAAACATCAGTAACAGCAACAACAGCGGCGGCGGTGGCGGCAGTGGCAGCAGCGGCGGCGGTGCAGGCAGTGGTGCAGTGGGCAGTGGTGGTGGTGGTGGGTATGGGGATCGGGCGCTGTGGCACATTCCCCGGGCGCACAGCAGCAGTGTGTCGGCGATTCTATCCCTGCCCGGCACGCCGCTGTTCCTGAGTGCGGGCAAGGACGGCGAGGTGAAGCTGTGGGACGCCTCGCGCTGCCAGCTGCTCAGGGAGTGGCCCCGCGTGCATGAGAAACGCACTTTCCTTAATGCCCGCGGCTTTGGAGCCGTCATGCAGGTGGGTGTGCTGTGTGGGCTACTGGGTGCTAGTCACGCAGGTGGGTGTGCTGTGTGGGCTACTGGGTGCTAGTCACGCAGGTGGGTGTGCTGTGTGGGCTACTGGGTGCTAGTCACGCAGGTGGGTGTGCTGTGTGGGCTACTGGGTGCTAGTCACGCAGGTGGGTGTGCTGTGTGGGCTACTGGGTGCTAGTCACGCAGGTGGGTGTGCTGTGTGGGCTACTGGGTGCTAGTCACGCAGGTGGGTGTGCTGTGTGGGCTACTGGGTGCTAGTCACGCAGGTGGGTGTGCTGTGTGGGCTACTGGGTGCTAGTCACGCAGGTGGGTGTGCTGTGTGGGCTACTGGGTGCTAGTCACGCAGGTGGGTGTGCTGTGTGGGCTACTGGGTGCTAGTCACGCAGGTGGGTGTGCTGTGTGGGCTACTGGGTGCTAGTCACGCAGGTGGGTGTGCTGTGTGGGCTACTGGGTGCTAGTCACGCAGGTGGGTGTGCTGTGTGGGCTACTGGGTGCTAGTCACGCAGGTGGGTGTGCTGTGTGGGCTACTGGGTGCTAGTCACGCAGGTGGGTGTGCTGTGTGGGCTACTGGGTGCTAGTCACGCAGGTGGGTGTGCTGTGTGGGCTACTGGGTGCTAGTCACGCAGGTGGGTGTGCTGTGTGGGCTACTGGGTGCTAGTCACGCAGGTGGGTGTGCTGTGTGGGCTACTGGGTGCTAGTCACGCAGGTGGGTGTGCTGTGTGGGCTACTGGGTGCTAGTCACGCAGGTGGGTGTGCTGTGTGGGCTACTGGGTGCTAGTCACGCAGGTGGGTGTGCTGTGTGGGCTACTGGGTGCTAGTCACGCAGGTGGGTGTGCTGTGTGGGCTACTGGGTGCTAGTCACGCAGGTTGGTGTGCTGTGTGGGCTACTGGGTGCTAGTCACGCAGGTGGGTGTGCTGCTGGTTGGGGGAGTGGGCTTGTATGCAGTGCAGACCTGGTTGTTTACTTCTTGGTTCCCATCGCGGTAATGGATGTGGATGCCTTGTTGCCCATTCTCTCCCCTTTCAATTGCAGGATGGTGTGATTGATATGAGTTCATCAACCCGTGGCATCCTCACATGTGATGATGAGTGGTTTATTGTTAACCCATTCTGTTACCCGACCTTCTCCCCCTCCCTTCTTTTCTTCTTTCTCAATGGCAGGTTGGTGTGATGGATATGATTCCCTCAACCCATGGCCTTCTAACATGTGGCGGTGATGGGTTTGTCAAGCTCATTCCATTTATTGCATAAGCCATCAGACCAGTCAGATGGTTCGTTGTGCCATAAAAGTACCCATTCATGGTGTAATTGTGATGATTCTTTATGAGTTACGATCGATTCTTATCAATCTTGTGACGCCGCTTCAGCTGTTCAGCTATTAGCATTCATGAATTGGAGCCAAAAACTAGGTCTCTCTTTCTTTCACTCACTCTATTCGTGCACAATATCGCAACCGCGGCCGCTAATAGCGAGGATTGGAATGTCGGCTCAATCAAACATCCAAGTGCAAAATTGAACAAATCACCATTTTCTTTCTACGCAGGACAGGTGGAACACAGCAGTTGTTTTCTTACTCAAAACACATCACGCCTCGCCGTCACCGTCGCCATGCACGCTGCTCTTGTCGCACCCGAGGTGGCCGCGACGCCACTCAATCAACCCGCGCGTATCGCGATGTTGGAAATTCCACCCTGAGCGCTCGAAAGCAGCACGCTAGCATGGCACTCTCACCGATGGGAACCACTGGAAACCGCGTTCCCATCATTTCCATGGGCCGGTCTTCCCTCTCACGCCTTCTCTACACGCCATTCTCATCATCGCATCGGCCGTTATGCTCGTTACCCCTTCTCGTCGTCGTCCTTTTCATCTACCTTCGCTGCTCTCACGCTCTCTTCTTCCTGTCCGGTCTCCAGACGCTCTCAGCTTCGGGTGAATTGATAATCGTTCGTGTCTCGTCAGTCGGAATAGAGCTTGCTTCCTTCTCTCAGCTTCTTATTTGTTTCCTTCTCACGGCTGAATTCGAAGCACAGGTTAATCTCGTGTGACACGTCAGCGTTATCATCACTCCCTGGTAGTGCATATCACCATTCAGCGTTCTCAAGTTGCTCCTCTCGATCCGCCATGGCGCTTAGCTGGCTCACGCTGTTCCTCATCGTCGTGCTCTTCATCGTGCTGTCTCCCGGGCTGCTGCTCCAGGTACTTTCTGTTAATGAGATGCTGGCTGGCATGTGACATGACATATTCATACTGGATGTCAGCTTGGAAAGCGTGTCAACATGTGTATCCCGTTTCCCATGTTGGTAATCTTCATCGTGCTTTCTTTGGGGCTGCTGCTCCAGGTACTGTTAATGTGATGCAGGCATGTGACAGGATGGTTATACTGCATGTCTCGTTTATGTTAGATACTATCCTCGTGAATGTGTTTATCATTCTCCGTTTATCGCTCTCTGTTTTATCATTCTTTGTATCGTCTGCTTGGAGGGTCTTTAATCTTACCTCACACGTAATCTTATGAATACATCCCTTCGCACCGCTTCTCTCTTGCTGTTTTGTCTCAGATTCCAGGCGACACACAGCCAATAGAGTTCCGCAACTGGCGCACGTCTCTCGCGTCAGTGTTGGTGCATGCAGTGGTGTTCTTCATCTTGCTGCTTCTCATTGATGAGTATTACTTCTCCAGTGCTGCTGGCGGCGGTGGTGGGGGAAAACATGATTAGATGATCAAGCGTTGTTTGTTGTTGGGGGTGGCGGCAGTGGGAAGTGTCATAGGATAATAATCATCGGTCAGTGTGTTGGTGCATGCAGTGGTGTTCTTCATCTTGATGCTTCTGATCGATGGGTATTACTTCTCCAGTGCTGCTGGCGGTGGTGGTGGGAAGCATGATTAGAGGATGAAGTGTGGTAGTTGTGCTGCTGCTGGAGAATGTTGGGATAGAACGACAGCATTGTTAGTGGGCAATCTGCAATTTTGTCTGTAGATGCAGTGAAATTCAGTGTCTGTAGATAACAAGTAGTGTTTGTACAGTGCTTTCCTGTATATAATGCATCTTGAAACAGCTGATGCTGCTAGAAAATGCGCTTTGCTTACGCACAAATCCCCCTACATGCTGTTTCTCAGCCAGCAAGACCCTTCTTGTACTTTTAAATGCTTACAGTAGAATGTTGATCTAGCCCGGCTAGATTACGATTTTTTACCGCAAGCCTGAAAGCCTGCCAGCCCGCCAGCCCCGACTAGACTATTCACAGAAATTTCCTGATTCAGATTCTGCACTGAAATCACCTCATTATACTATCGTAAAGAGCGTAGCTTTTTTTCCGTTGGTTGATTCTGTACTTTCTACCATACCATCAGTTAGAATTCCATATGTGTTTTAGCATTGTAAAATGCAATTTCCATATGTAGAAATCCATACCTTTGTAACACCCTACTGCAATTTGATTTCAAGCGGAGCATGCTACAATCTGGTATGGCAAACCCAATGTCCTTCCGTCCTGCCGTGACAAGCAGCAGATGCCATGTACAATGGGGTACGTAGCAGCTTATCTGCTCTTCTATCGAGACGAGTCAGCACTAACTACCACCGCCATGCACGCTCCTTTCGGCCTGCCCGCGACGTGGCAGCGGCATCACTCGAGCCACATGTCGCGGCGTTGGAAATCACGAAGCGCGGGGAGCATTGTGTTATGCACCAACTAAATCTGAACCATCTCGAACCGAACCGCATGTCGCATGCCTCATCCTATCATTCCGCCCTCCCCGCTGTTCCTCTTCTCTCTCGTGCCTCTCCCCTCCGGCGTTCCACGCTGACAGATTCAATACGGGCGACATCTCCTCCCCTGTTTACCCTTGCGTATCGTCCTCGCTCCTCGCAATATTTTTCTTGGCATAACGCTCAGCAGCCCTTGAAAGAGCTCCGTTCAGCCAGCTCTAGCTGTATCTCGTTCTCCTATTCTCACAGAATCTTTATTCGTGGGGTTTTCTTGAAAAGGCATGATGTTTTTCACGTGGTATGGCCTCGTGTTCATCACCGTCCTCTTCGTCCTCCTCTCCCCGGGGATGCTGCTGCAGGTACGTTCCAGCTACTCTCCAATCGTCAGTTTGCGACAATATGAAGCCTAGATTGTTTCAAGTTCGCTCTGGGTTGCTTCAGGTTCGCCCTGGATTGCTTCAGGCTCGTTGTAGGCTGCTTCAGCTTCGATTTGATCACCAATAAAACTGGGTGTGGTAGATCAGATGTGCTCATATGTTTTGAGCATGGCGTGGTGTCTATATAGATCTGATATGAAGGCCAGAGTAAGCCAGAGTAAGCCAACCATTGAAAACCATGCGCATGATGTCACGACTCGAGCCTTCAGTTTCTTATTCGAGTTCTTCCCTCTCCGCTCTACCCAACCTCCTTCACATCCTTCTCCCTTCCCTCCCCATTGGTACCCTTTCCTTCAGATCCCAGGAGACAACCAGCCAGTGGGGTTTCAGAACTGGCGCACGTCGCTGCCCTCCGTGGTGGTGCATGCAGTAGTCTTCCTCGCCCTCATCCTTCTCTCCCACTGTCTTTTCCCCATACCCCCACCCCCCTCCCACTCTCCCCTTTTCCTTCATGCAGATCCCAGGAGACAACCAGCCGGTGGAGTGTCAGAACTGGTGCACATGCTGTCTAACTCACCCTCATCCTGCTCTTTAACTGGCTATTCCTTTCCCCCCCCCACACACCTTCCACTGGCTCTTGCCCCATGCAGATCCCAGGGGACAACCAGCCAGTGGAGTTTCAGAATTGGCGCACCTCTCTGCCATCAGCGGTGGTGCACGCCGTAGTCTTCCTCGCCCTCATCCTGCTCTCCAATTGGCTCTTCCCTTCCTTTCTACACGGGTAGATGAGAGCAAGTGTGGGCCTTGGAAGCTCTCAGTTGCACCAAGTCATGTATAGATGAGAGTGGCTAGGCTCCTGCTGGATAGTCTGTAGGTCGGGTGTGTGTATAAAAGGTCTTGTCTTGGTGTAATAGAACATTCATTTGTATATACCTGTTGCATTTGTGATCAATTTGAATGTTGGATTAATCAGCCCCTGTCCAGTTGGTTCAATGTGAACATGGTTCAGGAGCTTTATGGGTCTTGCATTCAACTAGAGATGAGAAAGACGCCAATGGCAATTGCTTCAAACGATACAAACTACGGTATCTACCATGTTAAAAAGACCACAAATGCGAGAAAGCTATTCCAACAATTGCCGTATTTTGGTACAGTACAGTACATGAGCTGCATGCATTGCATTCAACCGTGGGGGTTTCGATTGAACATGTGTTACCATAACTGGAACTGAGAATGATATGTCATCTCTTGTTCCCATTCCCATACCAGACAACAGCGCCTTCCTACATGGCTCGGTGTCAGAAGGGGAAGGAAGAGAAGAGAGTACACTTGGTGAGATTGAGAGGGGAGACAGTGGAGTGGAGTAGACCCTAGCGAGTCCCTGCTGCTTCCACCCACACTCCCCACTCCACAATCCCACTCACCCTACTCCTCCACCTCCCACTTCACCAACCCCCCTCAGCCTTCCCCAACACGACCTCCCCCCACTCAATCCGTTTCCCACTCCGCCTTCCCCCTCTCCCCCCCTCTTCACCTGCCTCCCCACCAACGCTCACACTCAGCTTAGGCAGCACTTCGACGAGCTGGTGACTAGTTCACTGCTTACAAAAAAGGTTTCACTGCTTCCTAGCAACCCTCGGTCACCTCCTTCTCCCCCCCCCTCAACCGCAGTCCCACCAAGACTCATGCTCATCTTAAGCAGCACCAGAAAGTGTTCGTGCCGAGATGACTGCCCATGCATCACCTTCTATGGGTGCATCACCTTCTCTTCTTTTCCAACAGCACCCACAGCAGCACTGAGGGTCTCCTCTCCTCCCCTTGGCCCGCCACCCCACCAACACTCAAACTCATCTTCGGCAGCACCGGCAAGTGTCGGTGCCAAGATGATTGCTCAGGCACAACCTGTTACCCTTCCCAACAACCCTCACAAGTTCACCCGTCTCCCTTCCCCCTCACCCGCTACCCTACCAACTCTCACACTCATCTTGGGCAGCACCGGGAAGTGTTGGTGCCAAGATGGCTGCTGAAACATCACCTCCTCTCACTTTCCAGCAACTCCCACAGCAGCACTCAGGCTCTACTCTCCTCCCCTTGGCCTGCCACCCCACCAACGCTCACACTCATCTTAGGCAGCACCCGGAATTGCTGGTGACTGGAAAAAAGCTCAGACACAGCCTTTCACGACTTCCCATCATAACCCGCAGTCACCTTCTCTCCTCCCCTTGCCCCGCCACCCCACCAACGCTCGCGCTCATCTTAGGCAGCACCGGGAATTGCTGGTGCCAAGATGGCTGCTGAAGCATCTTTCCAGCAACTCCCACAGTACCACTCAGGCTCTCCTCTCCTCCCCTTGCCCCGCCACCCCACCAACGCTCACACTCATTTTAGGCAGCACCGGGAATTGCTGGTGCCGCGGCTTCCAGGAAGCGGGCCACTCCCGTGAGCTCTGCCGCTGCTGATCTGACAAAGTCGACGCATACTGCTCGAGCAACACTCCCGTGCATGGGTCATGGAGCACAGTGTAGGGGTCGTGAAGGGTTGTGGCGTCGTGCAGGACAGTGTAGGGATCGTGAAGTAAGCTCATTCTCCACAGCACCTCCTCTGTCATCCACCCCCGCCCCTTGTGTGGGAGGATCTTGGAGGATGGGGAGACGAAACCCGCTATGGGACGAGGCGTGCCGCCCATGACCGCCTTTTGGAAGTACTCGAAATCGGAGTCGTAGTGTGGATTTTGGGGCGGTGTGAAGGCTGGGTGAGGGGGGGAGGAGGTGGAAGAGGAGGAGGTGGAGGAGGAGGAGGAGGAGGAGGAGGAGGAGGAGGAGGAGGAGGAGGAGGAGGAGGAGGAGGAGGAGGAGGAGGAGGAGGAGGAGGAGGAGGAGGAGGAGGAGGAGGAGGAGGAGGAGGAGGAGGAGGAGGAGGATGAGGAGGAGGAGGAGGAGGAGGAGGAGGAGGAGGAGGAGGAGGAGGAGGAGGAGGAGGAGGAGGAGGAGGAGGAGGAGGAGGAGGAGGAGGAGGAGGAGGAGGAGGAGGAGGAGGAGGAGGAGGAAGCATTTTCCCGAGATGTCTCAACGTTCGATTCAACTCCACTACCAGTAGCTACACAAGAAACTTCTCTAGCTTCTCTACCCTCCTCCATTGTCCATTGCCCCTCCACCGCCCTTCGCCTTGAGGAGGGTTCTCGAGCCTCCTCCTCAGTTGTTGCGGGCCCAGCACCAGCACCATCGGCTCTAGCCGCTTCCTCCCCTCCCACTCCTTCTCTGCCTCTGTCCCCTTCCATACAATCACACCCCCTTCCTTCCCTCATCCCCTGTTCCTCTGGCTGACTGTCTTTGGAAGCCACACACCTCTCGTTATTATCACAACCTCCTTTCTTCTCACATCCCTCATTATTATCACGCCCCCCATTCTTCTCACAACCTTCGTTACTATCTGCACTCCTACTAGCACATCCGTTCTGTGCTTCTCTTCCCCCAATCCCTCCACTCAGCACTGAACCTCTTCCCCGCTCCAGGCAGCTCAAAAGATTTGCATCCTGCCCGAGATAAGTCAGACCCTGTTTCCTAACCGCTTGCATTTGAGCCTCTATCTCTGCTCGGGTTCTCCCCATCACATATCTCCCCTCTCCCTCCCCATCCCCCCCTCCTCCGCCTCCTTCTCCTCCCTCTGCCGCTGCTGCATCAGCAGCATCAAGGGCTGCTAGTAATTCAGCAGGTTCCCTCCCTTGCAGAACGGGAATAGGGGCAGAATGAGGCACTGGTCCTTGTGACTGCAGAGGTAGCGGGGACGGTGGGAGTGGGATTGGTGGCTGTGCTGCTAGTGATTCCGGGGGTTCTCTGCCTTGCGACTGCAGTGGTAGTGGGATTGGTGGCTGTGCCAGAGACAAGTGTGAAATTGGCGGTTGAGATTGAGTCTGTACATGCGACTCTGGGAGTGGGAGTGACTGTTCCTGCTGTTGCTGTCGTTGCCGCTGGTGTTCTTGTTCTTGCTGCTGTTGCTGTTCCTCCTGCTGTGCCAGTTGTTGCTGCTGCTCCTGTTCCTCCTCCTGTTGCTGTTGCTGTTGCTGTTGTGTCTCCCCCACTACTGAGTCTTTTTGCCCTTCGTTTCTTGCCACCGAATCGCCAGCCACCTGCAATCCCTGCTCACAGGACCCACCTTCCCCAAATGCCACCTCCCCTCCTCCTGCAGATACCACCTCCCCACCACCAGCAGATGACACCTCCCCCAGCTGTTCGTACTTGATGATCTGGGCGGCAGCTGCGAGGGCCTGCTTGGCCATGAGCGGGTGGCATTCCTTGCCCCGCCAACAGTATACTTTTGTCCGTATCTGAGTGTGAGACAAGTCGGGGACGGGGAGGAGGAGAGGAGGAAATGGGAAGGATTGAGGAGTGGGGAAAGGAGGGAGGGGGAAAGGGAGAGGGAGCAGCAGAGAAAGGCCATGAAAGAAATAACACACTTCTCCACACCAGCAGCACATTGCAAAAGGAGAGTTGAGAGGCAATTGTTTTACGGAGAGAGACGCCTGTGGCATTAAGGGGAGGCAATCACCTTGTCAGTGAGATGAGAAGGAAAGACTTTTGAGTCGACTCGAAAGTCAGCTCTTGAGTCGACTCGAAAGTCAGCTCTTGAGTCGACTCGAAAGTCACCCTTGAGTCGACTCGAAAAACTTTTGAGTCGACTCAAAAGAGACGCCTGTGGCATTAGGGGAGGCAATCACCTTGTCAGTGAGAAGGGAAGTTGAGAGGGTATCACCGACTCTATAAGGAGAGTGAGTGAGTGAGAGTGAATCACCTGCACAATGAAGGCCCCTCGTGGGTCGAGCGAGTGGCGGGAGAGGGCGGTAATTTTCGGCACCAAGTGCAGTGCGTCGTACGGCGAGTGCGGCGCCATGCGGTACATGTGACAGCTGCTTGCCGCCCCTGATGCCTCCTCTGCCGCCCCTGATGCCTCCTCTGCCGACCCTGACGCCTTCTCTGCCGCCCCTGATGCCTCCTCTGCCGCCCCTGACGCCTTCTCTGCCGCCCCTGATGCCTCCTCTGCCGCCCCTGACGCCTTCTCTGCCGCCCCTGATGCCTCCTCTGCCGCCCCTGACGAGTCTGCTGCCCCCAATGCTACCCTTCGTGCTGGCTCTGATGCTACCGCTGCCCCTGATGCCAGTGCTGATTCTGCAACTGATGAGCGTGCTGGTTGTTGCGGTGCTGGCAGTGGTGCTGGCAGTGGTGCTGACAGCGGTGCTGGCGCTGATTTTACCTGCCCATTGGAGTCATCAGAACCACCTTTTGCCTTTGCTGCTAGTGACTCTCCTTCTGGTGCTGCCGCTGCTGCTACTGCTCCTGATTCTGCCTCAGCAACAGCAGCACCAACGCCAGAAGCAGTGGCAGCAACAGCAGCACCAACGCCAGAAGCAGTGGCAGCAACAGCAGCAGCAGGAGCAGCAGCAGGAGCTGGAGCAGCAGGGGGGAGAGCGGTGGGTTGAGGCGTGGGGGGCGGATCGAGGGCGGAGGGGGGGAGGATGCGCGTCTGCCACTGCAGCAGCTGGCATGCAAACCCCATGTTGGGGTTGGCCACTGCCCTCAGCGCCTTGACTCGCTTGAACGCGTCCCCAAAGGGAATGCCCTGCAGGAATGGAGAGAATGGGGTGGAAGGAAGTGGGAGGGGGTTGAGAGCGGTGGAGGGCGCATGAGATTGAAATGAAACTCATGTTGGGGTTGGCTACTGCTCTCAGCGCGTTCACCTGCTTCAACGCGTCTCCGAAGGGTGCAGAACGGAAGAGGGTGGAAAGGGGTGGAATGGGTGGAAGGAGGTGCACGGGGGTTGAGAGCGGTGAACAGGAGCACGGGGTTGAAGCCCATGTTGTGGTTGGCCAAAGACCTCAGCGCATTCACCCGCTTGGATTCGTCTGTGGGGAGGGAAGGAGAGGAGGGTTGGAAGGGGTGGGAGGGGGTTGAGAGCGGTGGAGAGCATGCAATTGAACCCGATGTTGGGATAGACCTCGGGCTATGGGTCTCAGAGCTTTCACCCTCTTGAGGAGGGTGAGTGGTTGAAGCTCCTGGAAGCTGTGAGTGCCTTAACCCACTTTGGCTCGGTGTGGCTCGGTTTGGTTCGAATGAACACACACACACACCTCGCACCACAGGCAACCGCAACACCCAGTGTGATCCCTGCACTGCACACACGCACCCACACACCCACCTACCTACCTACCCACACAACCACCCACCCACACACCCACCTACCAACCTACCCACACAACCACCCACCCACACACCCACCTACCTACCTACCCACACAACCACCCACCCACACACCCACCTACCTACCTACCCACACAACCACCCACCCACACACCCACCTACCTACCTACCCACACAACCACCCACCCACACACCCACCTACCTACCTACCCACACAACCACCCACCCACACACCCACCTACCTACCTACCCACACAACCACCCACCCACACACCCACCTACCTACCTACCCACACAACCACCCACCCACACACCCACCTACCTACCTACCCACACAACCACCCACCCACACATCCACCTACCTACCTACCCACACAACCACCCACCCACACACCCACCTACCTACCTACCCACACAACCACCCACCCACACACCCACCTACCTACCTACCCACACAACCACCCACCCACACACCCACCTACCTACCTACCCACACAACCACCCACCCACACACCCACCTACCTACCTACCCACACAACCACCCACCCACACACCCACCTACCTACCTACCCACACAACCACCCACCCACACACCCACCTACCTACCTACCCACACAACCACCCACCCACACACCCACCTACCTACCTACCCACACAACCACCCACCCACACACCCACCTACCTACCTACCCACACAACCACCCACCCACACACCCACCTACCTACCTACCTACCCACACAACCACCCACCTACCCACGCACCCACCAGGCCACTCACCCAACCAACCACCCACCCACCCACCCAATGCAGCCCAATGCCCATTGCCCAGTCCCAGTGCTTCCAAGCACCCACCTCGCGCCACATGAGGTAGGCAATCACGAGCGACGTGGAGCGCGAGATGCCCTGGCAGCAGTTGGGGTAGGCACCAGCACCTACACACCCAAAATGTCACCCCTCCCACCCATGCTGCACACTCCATGTCCCCCACACTGCACCCACCTCGCACCACATGAGGTAGGCAATCACGAGCGACGTGGAGCGCGAGATGCCCTGGCAGCAGTGGATGAACACGCGGCCCCTCGCCGCCCTTACAGCCTCGATGTAATCAAACACGTCGTATAAGACGCACACCAGGTCCTCGCCCGTGTTGTCCTGAGGGAGGGGAGGGGTGTGGAGGGATGCAATTGGGTGTAGAAATGAATGGGAGAGGTGGGGGGTGTGCAGTGCAGTGAACAACCCCTTCACCCGCCCTGATAGGGGGAAGGGAGAGGAGAGGGATGGAAAGGGATGGAAATGGGTGGAGCAGGGAAGGGAGAGGTGGGGGGGTGTGCAGTGCAGTGAACAACCCCTTCATCCGCCCGCACGGCCTCAATGCAATCAAACACGTCGCATAAGACGCACACCAGGTCCTCGCCCGTGTTGTCCTGAGGGAGGGGAGGGAGAGGTGAAGGGGAGGGGGGAGAGGAGGAAGGGGACAGTTAATATTCTCAGCCTCGCTCACAACCTCAATGTGGTCAAACACGTTAAACAAGACATACAGCAGGTCCTCGCCCGTGTTGTCCTGAGGGATGAGAGGAAAGGGGAGGGAAAGAGGGAGGGAAGGGATAGGTGTGTGTGTGTGTGTGTGTGTGTGAGTGTGAGCGCGCGCGTGCGTGCGGGCGTGTGTGCGTGTGTGGGGGGGGGGGGGGGTGGGTTTGGGTGGGTGCGAGCCTGCGTGCGCACACATGCACATTTACACACAATCCACAATGTAGCAGCATCCGACCGCAGCCAGAGAACTAGTAACCTCACCTGCAGCCAGAGCGTCTTGTACTTAATCTCCTCTGGAAAATACTCGGGGCACACAAACCCCACGCAGTTCAGCACATGCGTGATCCCAGCCTCCTTAAGAACCTCCCTGCTTCTCGCTACAAAGTCGCTCCCCACATATACATGCTCCAGCACTCGGCTACAGTCCTTTTCGAAAAACGCGAACTTATCCCGCCTGGCTTGCGCTTCCTGCGCCTCCCGCGCAAAATCCCGCTCCCCCCTGCTCCGCTGAAGCGCGCCCATGTCTAGTTTAAACCCACCGGGACCCCTCCCGGGCCTGTTCAGCCCTGGCACCTCGCGCCTGCTCGCCAAGCCTCTTCCCGAGCCTGCAGCTGCGGTTCGGCGGTTGATCAGGGACAGTCCCGCGGAGTTTTCCCCACTGCTGGCGCTTCTCCGCGCGGAAAGTCGGCGGGGGTTGGCCAGCGCGAGCGGGGGGGCGGGGGAGGCCTGAAGGGTGTCTAGAGACGCGCGCCCGGGGAGAACGAGACCGTTCCGCGCAGGGGAAGCGGGCGCGGGGGCGCAGGCGGAAGCGGAGGCGGAAGGGGAGGCGGAAGAAGAGGGTTTGAGGGCGGAAGAAGGGGAATCGGCGGAAGGTTCAGGTATCAGGGTAGAACCGTTTCCGCAACTCTCTGTGTGCCTGGGGCTACCGCGGTCAGTATAATCACCTGTGACTATAGGGCTCTGGGACTTTAACGGAGTAACTGGCGTAACATCTGACATCGAGTTACTCGGGTTAGGGTTACGCAGCGTCGTTGCTGCTGCTGTGTTAAGGGTAGGTGGATTAAAGTCACTCGCGTTACTACTGGCTAAGGGGTCGTCTTCTCTTTGCTCGGGCTTGCCTGGTGCGATAAGAACAGCTTCGGTGCAGGAAGCGGAAATCGTCGCGGAATCACCGTCAACAGCAGCAGCAGCAGCATTGGTAGCGGCATTGGTGGCGGCATTAGAAGCAGCAGCAGCACGAGTAGCAGCGTCGTCGCCTGGGGTGCATTCAGAGATTATGCCCATCTTTGATTCATAAATGGCCGTTGATTCATGCGCACTACACGGCTCGCATGTTTCGCCGCCGTCCGCAAAACCTAGCGGTGCTCCCGCGTCTCCTGCCACGTGTCCCGCCACATGTCCTGCCGCGTCTCCTGCCGCGTGTCCTGCCACGCGTTGCCTTGCGGTGAGTTCTCGAAAGGAATCTCTTCCATTGAACGATGCCGACTTGAGTCGCATCTTATGTCTTGCCACGTCATCTTCACGCCCTGCGTCGTCGGCTTTCGACGAGACAGAACGGCTGGTCTCGGAGTTCTTCATTATCCTTCCACCTTCCGTCACCCCTTCCAATTGCACCGCCGCTTCCGAAGCGGACATAACGAGGACAGAACTTCTGAGGCGCCTCAGAAATATGACCGAGGATAAACCACCTGCCTTGGTAGTGTGCAGTCTAAAGTGTTTGATGCAGGTGTATCGAAAGGTGCAGGAAGGAGAATCTGTGCAGATCAACGGCTGTGAGCAGCTGGCGAAAAACACGAAAATGCTGGCCGCGTTTCTAGCTGTTAGCTGTTGCCAGTAAACTACGGAATCGACACTAGCACTACGACTAGCCACGTGGCGGCGTCAAGTTACACGACGAAATGACACAATGGACGCGGCAGGCAATTTTGAGGAGTCTAAGAAATCGAGGTGACAGAATGCACGAGCAAGCGAGCACTTCCCGTCCACCAAGCAAGCACGTCACCGATAAACCGAGTGACCGAAAGCAGCAATATCCGGCAAGGCTTGCATACGGAAAATGGCGACCACAGGAGGCAAGTAACAAGGTCAGGGGAACTAACAACTAATCATGCGTCCATACCATACATTACCTACCCTATTGCCTAAACTGACGGATAATCACTATTTCCTGGTTCAATCATAAGCAAGGTCCGTTCCGTTCATGGTGATGAGTGGTGCAGCGTGGTTCAATGCAACCTTCCGTCCAAACGTGTTTCTACAGTCATGGCGACCACTGCCAGTCTTTCGACTCGTCGACACACACATCCAACTCTGCCCAGAAGTCCTACTACTGCCCAGGGTGAAACGAAAAAACGTAAAAGCCAGCATAGGAGGGATGGGGCTTTCGGGCAACTCTGGCAGTCAAATGAACCTTTTGGTTCCATCAGGTGGAAGTGGCCACACTTAGTTATTTTTCGGCAAGGCCGTCGCTGCCCTAATCGTTCCTTCACAGCGGGCATTGCCTTCCTGATCTCCTGGTACGGATCTAGACTAGAAACCCACCAACGACAGCGGCGCCCTTGGCCCAATCAAACCCGCGCCAAGCCTCGCCAGTGGTTCGGCTTGACCTACAAAGCGCAGACAAGGCACCTGACCTACGACAGGTATCGGGTGTACGGAGAAATATCCCTGTTTTTAGCATATCGTTATGTATAGATAAGGCTACATGAGTAACACGAAGTGGTGATGGTGGTATAACAGTCTGCCCTCCGTAATCACAATTCAATCCCCACTCCATACGAGCACGCTCAAGTTGCAGCTTTTCCCATTCTGCATTTCCTCCTGCTTCCCTAAACCAATTCATAAGCAATTACTTCTCATAGCTACTAACAACTGCTACTAGCATTCGACGCGTCAATTGCGCGGATCCCGACTCTGAATCTATTTTTGAACCAAAATGGGTTTCGGAAGTAAGATCTCCGCCTGTCTTTCCTTGTCTTTCAACCAATGAGTAACCATAGAGCCACCCCAGTTGCAATGCAACGGCGCGAAACCAGGACCCGCAACAAACCAAGGCATTTGTGCATCATTTCCGGCAGCCATACTTCGACTATCACTCGCATCTCACCCACGCAACGACGCCTGGTTTCACCTTTCGCCATTGTTCGCAGGTCAATCCGTGGTAACCCGCGCGCTGGACAAGGCGTTCTACGAGTTCGCGGAGTTGGACCGCACGCCGGACCACGAGGGCCGGCAAGTCATCAACGCCGCGGAGCTCTACGCCTGCGTGCTGCTCGCGTACAAGTGAGTAGTGCAATGCACTGTAGCGGGGAAATGCAAGGCAGCGAAACGCCTGTCAGCAGGTCTGGTTGCAAACGCCTATTAGTAGGTAGCGCAATGCCTAGAAGGACGTAGGCAGCGCCTGTAAGAGGCAGCGCAGCACGCCTTCACGGACGTAGCCTATCGCCTTGCGTGCTGCCTGCTTTTCAGTGCCGTAGGTCATCCTTTAACAACACTGACTAACTTTCAGTTGCTTCATTTGGCCTGTTGTCCTTTTATGCGTTATCCGTGAATAGAATGATCGAGTGTTTTTCTTACTTTCTTTTTGAAACCTTTGGTCTCTCAACCACCCTGTGCTGCCAGCTATGTGAATAAGTATTCCCCAGGGTCTCACCTGGATCCCCCTAAGAAGACAGAGGTGTTCAGAATGATGCAGGTGAGCATAGAAAACCAGAGCATGGCCCCAGAGCAAACAGAATGCAGGTAAGCATAGAAAACCAGAGCATGGCCCCAGAGCAAACAGAATGCAGGAAAGCATAGAAAACCAGAGCAGGGCCCCAGAGCAAACAGAATGCAGGTGAGCATAGAAAACCAGAGCATGGCCCCAGAGAAAACAGAATGCAGGTGAGCATAGAAAACCAGAGCATGGCCCCAGAGCAAACAGAATGCAGGTGAGCATAGAAAACCAGAGCATGGCCCCAGAGCAAACAGAATGCAGGTGAGCATAGAAAACCAGAGCATGGCCCCAGAGCAAACAGAATGCAGGTGAGCATAGAAAACCAGAGCATGGCCCCAGAGCAAACAGAATGCAGGTGAGCATAGAAAACCAGAGCATGGCCCCAGAGCAAACAGAATGCAGGTGAGCATAGAAAACCAGAGCATGGCCCCAGAGCAAACAGAATGCAGGTGAGCATAGAAAACCAGAGCATGGCCCCAGAGCAAACAGAATGCAGGAAAGCATAGAAAACCAGAGCATGGCCCCAGAGCAAACAGAATGCAGGTGAGCATAGAAAACCAGAGCATGGCCCCAGAGCAAACAGAAACCAGGTGAGCATAGAAAACCAGAGCATGGCCCCAGAGCAAACAGAATGCAGGTGAGCATAGAAAACCAGAGCATGGCCCCAGAGCAAACAGAATGCAGGTGAGCATAGAAAACCAGAGCATGGCCCCAGAGCAAACAGAATGCAGGTGAGCATAGAAAACCAGAGCATGGCCCCAGAGCAAACAGAATGCAGGTGAGCATAGAAAACCAGAGCATGGCCCCAGAGCAAACAGAATGCAGGTGAGCATAGAAAACCAGAGCATGGCCCCAGAGCAAACAGAATGCAGGTGAGCATAGGGAACCAGGGCATGGCTCACGGGAACCAGAGCAAGCAGAAGTTGAAACTCAGCAGAAGCACCCATACCATAAGAAGCATACGTGTCAACAGCCAAATGAGGCCCGTGCTGCTTGTCCGTGTTATTGCATGTGGCAAACTACATCCCCTGAACCACCACTTTGAGACTAGGTAAAGTGTCCTGCAGCCACCTTCTTGGGCAGCGTTTCACGTTCAAACTCCGGTTTTTCTGCTTGCTTGACTGTTCCCTGCCAGACGTTTGACCTGAATAGCGATGGCGTGCTGGACCGTGCCGAGTTTGAACGATTCGTGGAGAGCTTTGCCAAGAACTTGACAAGGCGGGCATTAGTCAATGCTGCTGCCGTGTGCGCAGCTGTTCCAGCTCTCGTGTTTCTGACCAAGGCGTCCCTCAAGGAGTTTGAACCAACACACAAGATCGGGAAGAAGATCCCTCCGGCCTTGTTAGCCTGTGTTTTCACTACCGTACTTAAGATCGCGGGTCTGTGCTAGTTGCACATACCGTACTAACGTGGTAGCAGCTGCAACATTATCTGTAGAAATGATTTGCACGTGCTCGCAACACCACTGACGCCATGAGTGTATGAAGCCTATCATTCAGTACGCTGTACAATTATTCAACCACATGTTTTGAGCTGTACCTGTAGCTGATGCTTGATACCTATCATTGACACTTTCAATAGACCACTGTGGTATCATAGATGTTGGGCTGAGAAGCCCTAGGATCTTTGTAGAGCTTAAAGAGCCCTTAAGGTCTGAGTAGGATTGTAATAGCGGAAGCGTTGAAATAAAGAGTGATTGAACCACCTTGCGCTAGTATGTGAGGGCAAAGTAAGTTGATTAAACAAGCAAATACAAAGGTTTATATAAGAGTACAAGGAATACGAATAGATAAATTCAAACCGTTTTACTGTTGCGATTCGATACAGTGCGACTCGGGCAACTGCTCAATGTCGAGTCAGTTGTGTGTCCTTGCTGTCGCGCTGTAATTGTCGAGTCAAAGGTCGCTGACCTTTGACTTTCCTGTAACCTCCAGGCGGTTACCCTAACCTCTGAGGGTTGACTCGCGATGCTTCGATTCGGACTGCTTCGCTAGTGTCCTGAGTTTCGACACGACAGAGGCGCTTAAGACTTATTGTTCCCAACACTCCCCTTCGCTTCTGGAGTGTCGCTGATGGTGACGTGGCCTTGTCCAATCAGCAGCATGCAGTACTCGAACTTCTGTTTTCCGAGTTTCTTGGTCAAATAATCGGCTGCCATCTCGGACGTGGGACAGTAGGATAATTCGAGTTTCCCTTTCTCGATCTCGTTCTCTACGAAGAAGTATCGCAGAGCGATATGCTTCGTTCTGTTCGCGAATCCGCTTTTGTTGGCGATGCGAATTGC